TTTAACATTAAATTTTTATATTATTATTATTATTGTTAAGTTTATTTTTTTATAGAAATATTTTAAATTGCAATTTTATAGAATTAAAAAATTAGTTAATAAAGTTATTTTTATGAAAAATTATTGTTTGGCTAATATACCTAAACTAATATAAAACTTTATAAATTGAAAATGTCATATTAATAAAATAAAAATGATAAAAACGATAAAAACATATTTATAATAGTAAATTTATAACAAAATATATAAATTATAATTTTAAATAGTTTATTATGTTTTTGAGATGGTATTAGTGTTAGCAAAAAAAGAGAAATTTCTAGAAAGTTTCTAAAAGAAATTTCTATTTATGGGATCCCCATGGTTAATTTTGTTTTCTCGATATTTGTTATCTTTAACATTGTTTTTATAAGTAATATTTAAATATTATTAATAGTATTTTAATTATTAATTAAAGTAAAAAATTTATTTATTTAATTATATTAAACTATGATATAATAAAATGGTGAATAAAATTTTACAAAACTGATTATTATTAAAGAATTATAATTATTTATATAGGTATCCCATTTGTATAATATAATATTATACAGTAATCTACATTATATAGTATAATATTATATGTATAGTATTATATGTCTCATTAATATATTTATAGTTTTACAATATCTATAGATATGGGGATCCCATATTATAACAAAAAAGTTAAATTTCTATAGAAATTTATTCCTGAGAAACTTTCTAGAAACTTTCTCAGGGAAATTTATTAGAAACTTTCTATTTGCCCATCTCTATATGGTATTAACTTTTTATATATTTATTTAATTATTTGTAAATTTAAATTTATATTTCTATTAAATAAAATAAAATATATATTGTTATATGCATTATTAAATATTTATCTAAAAAAATATTATAAACTCAACTCTCTTATAAAATATAATAATAAAAATAAATTATTGATATATATATAAACTGTTGCAACACATTTCACTAAATAATTGACTTATATTTCTATGTAATACAACACTAACTATAGATAAAATACTTAACTTTTAAATTTCTATATAATATATATTTTTAAAAATATATTAAAATATTTTTCACTATAAATATTTCTTTAAATAGAATATTTAACTTAAAGATAAAAAATTATATATAAATTTGTATATTTTAATATTGCAAATAAATCTAATTTTTAATTATTTTTCTATTTAGTAAAAATAGGAGACAAAAATAAATATAATATTTTTGCATTTTTTTAATAAATGCAAAAATCAATCAATTATATAGCTTTTAATTATTGTGTCTCAAACAGAGAACACTATAAATCATTTTATTTTATTTTGTATAATAATAGTTAGTATACTATAATAATAATATGAAATATACTAGTATATAAATTTAAGTAAATATATTATACAAATAAACTACATGTCTAAAAATTTATTAACTGATAGTAAATGTATAATATTATATAAAAGAAAATTCAATATATTGATATTATAATTGCATGAACAATATATTGTATAATAATATATATTTGATTTAATCAATAAAATAATATAAAACTAAATATATTTAGTATTCATAGTATAGCTTATATACAGTAGAGTAAGTATACAACAACAACTACAACAACAACAACAACAACAACAACAACAAATTAAATATAAAGAAACAAACTAGTATTTAACCTATCTTATTTATATGTCATTAAATAATACAATACAGATATTATAGATGTATGTAAAGTATTTTGTTATATCAATAATAATAATAATAATAATAATACAATAGAGAGTATGAATACAATAAACTTAAAATGCAATAATGATTTTGTTTTCTTTCCCGAGGAAAATCATATATTAAATATATAAAAAAATAAGAGATCACCAGTTGCTGTATATTATCTTTGTAGGTATATGTTGTATACTTTATATTGTGTGTATGTATGTGTTTGTGTTATCTGTATCTACCTATCCTTTATGCAGTATATATATATATTATAACAATACCAAATGCCTTCACCACAAATGTTTGCGCACACTTTATTGGTGTGTTTAACACTGGTGTGTGTTTGTTAGCTATATAACAAATTTTAGCAGTATCTCAGATACGGAATATTCTCTATAACGTTATATATATATATAGTATATATGACTTGAATGTCTATGACATAGACTCGTGATGTGATTTTAAATATCATACACATAGACACCACACACACACACACACACACACACACACACACACATTGTTTGAGAAAACTCCGATTTATATAACGGTGCCAATCATATTGTGTTCACAAGTCTCACATATACACATATAATCTTTCAATATGTGTGTGTATGCACTGTATTAATGATTGTCTGTATGTGTGCGCAAAACTAAAGGGTAATGATTTTATTTGAAAGTCATTATAATTTATAAATGTATTATTGCATTAATATTATTAGGATTAGATAATAATTATAATTTTATTTTTTTTTTAAATTATATAAATTTATAGTTGCTTATGTAATTAATTATTTTTCAAATTAAAAAATACAATCATTATATTATAAATCTATTTTAATAACAAAATGTGCAAATATTTCTAAATTTTTGTTTATTTATTTAAAGTATTATATGAAAAGAATATATATATAAATTAAAATTTTAAATTATTAGTAATAAAACTAAATTATATAATTATAATTAATATTTTATTATTGTATTTAGTTTTGTTTTATTTGTTAGTTGCAATTTACTAAATAATTTTTAACATTAATTATAAATGTATATAATTGCTCTTTTATCTTTTAAATAATCTATTGCCGAAAATTTTAATTAATATTATTTATTATTTACTAACAATTTATTTTAGAAATTATTTTAATACTTATAAACCATATATATATAGTAAGATTATTATTTTGTAAAAAACATGACATGTCATTTATATAAATTGAAATTTTTTTTAAATCTTTAATATTATGTGTTGTATGTGTGTGTATGTTAACAATGACATGTCATACAACTGCAAACACAAAAATATAAAAAGTTATTAACATTTTTATTGAGATATTTATTGTGAATCCAGATATATATTTATATATATATATTATTTATAATTTTTCTTTGCTTTTATAATCTATATTTATGTTATTATTTTTTATTTTGTTTAGTCAATTGAATGCTATATATATATATATATATAATATAGATATACAATATAGAAATTTGTTGGTAAAGCAGTGTAATACCGGTGCACTAATTTATTTTCCATACCATCTAATTATAGAGTGTTTATAATTAAAAGCCTATAACTGTTGTGAAACTTTATGATATATCTGGTTTGCGATTGTCATCATATATGAGAAGCCCCATTAATATAAAGCGTTTACATCAAAAAATTAAGGTTTGTATTTTTTCAATTATTCATAGAAATTATTGTTAATTTTAGTTATTGTAAACAATGAATATTATTTTCATAGAAATTTGTTTCAGAAAAATTATATATATATATATTGTATATATTTCACTAAATATTTTAAAATTATTTATAAATAACTTACTAAACATATATACTGTATAAATTGATATATTAGTATACATTAATAAATATATTTACTTTATATTATGACAGCATTTATAGTGAATCATACTTTACGTTAAAAACAATATGCAATATATATATATAATATTGAATATATAGTAAATAGCTAACAGTGTACTGAAACCTAACAAAATAATTTGATCAAATTAGTAGATTGTAGACTAAACTTGTATATTATAAAATAAACATATATTGAGAATATATGCTCATATAAATGATATATAACTGTATATTCAGTAATTTGATCGCTAAAAAGCAATTTTTGTTACAATAAAAAAATATATTGAATGATCAGTAATTTTGTGTTATTTATTAATATAATTTACAGTATCTATTTATATCTTTTATACTGTACAATATATATGATAACATTGAAGCCATAAATTATCATTATATTCATATATCATTTATAAAATTTATAAAATATAAACTTATATATAACATAAAGAATTTTTCATATATTTAAAATTAATTATGTTTATATATTGTATTAGCTTTATGTTATGTTAGATTAATTTACAAGTATATAAATATATATATAAAGTATTTTACAATTATAAACAGTTTTCACAAAATATTTTAATATTTATTTAAAATATGATTGAATTATGAATTTTATTTTCATTTTATTTTTGTTTCTGAAAAACAAAACAATTTAATTGATAATTGTTACGGTTTGGTAATACTGCTGCTTTGACTACGCTATGGACTACACAGTTATGTCATCCACAAGTGGTGGCTATCGACACCAATTGAGGCTATTTTTGGGCCGTAGTATTGGAGCAAAAAGTAAACGCCCCGACAGTAATAATAGCCGCGACAATAGTAAAGTTAATAGTAGTAGTAGTAGTAATAGTAGTGATAAACGTTTAGCTAAAAAGCTAAATAACAGAAAAAATAAGGACAAACATAATCATCAACAACACAATGATGATAAAATAGGCGATGTTGTTGTTGTTGGCGGTGGTGGTGGTGATGGTGGTAGTGGTGATGATGCTAATAGTGTTGGCAATGTAGCCAGTGATCAGTCAAAAGTGACTAACTTTCCTACAACAACAACAACAGCAGCAACAACAACATCGACAACAATTAATAGCAAAAGTTTTTATAAACAAACGACTAATAATAGCTCATTGAAAAGTCCTATTAATTTAGCAGTTAATTATTGTAATAATAATAATAATACTAATAATAGTATCGATTGTAGTAGTATTGAACAAAAGTTTGTTACATTTATTAATAAATTGCGGACAATTGCCGCCAATAGTACTACTAATACTAATAATAATAATAATAGCAGCCCTAGTGGTGGTGGACCAGATTTGCTACGGCTTCTCTATTTAATAAAAAATTCAAAACATCAGACCAACTGTACTCGACAGCCGCCCATTTGGCACAAGAGATCCTATTCGCTGAACGACATACCAGTGCTCGACAACGAACTAATAGATAGCAATTCAGACAGTGTCGACAATGTCTATAACGATTCAATTAGCGACAGTTTGATCGCCAACATTAACAACAATAGTAGTAAGTGTTCAAAATTTAAGCGAACACTTAGCTATCTATCGGGTAAGTCGTTTATCCGGCGCCGTAAGCTTAAGCTAAAGAAGCCGATAATGGGTCAAAACACGTCAACGACATCGCCAGTAATTGACAATACTACTAGTACTGCCAATACTGTCACCAATACAGCTATCAGTAATGCTGGCAGTAGTGTTGGTGGTGGTAGTGGCAGTGGCTCCAGTGTTGTCACTGGAAAGTCGGACAAACCAATGGATACCAGTGCTACTACTAATACCGGTATAATTATCTTTTATCATTTAATACCTAAAGTAATTTTCATGTAGTTTATATTGCATAAATAAGTTTAATTTAAATTTTTTATTTTATTTTATTTAGTTGTTTATTTGTGTTAAAACACTAAGCATTACAGTCACAAAACAGTATTGTTTAATATAAACACTAATTGCAAGCAATTAATTGTTTCGATAGATTTATCGTTTAAATCAGTAAATCATTTATTTGTAAAACTTATTTGTCAAATGAAAAATACAGTACAGAATATTCTGTATTATTTGTTTTTGTCATTTTGATGAACAATTTGTTTTACTTTATATGTGTATAAATTATAGATGTTTTACTAATTAATGTGCATATATATAGTGTGTGTGTTTACTATTATATTTAAATATAAAACTAATTGTCTTAATGTAATGATAGAAATATATATATATATATATTTAGTAAAATAAAGTTTTTTTAGAAAAAGATTTAAACATTTATACTCTAATTTAGTTTTATTTTTGTGCAAAAAATAATGATTTTTCAATTTAAAATTTTTATAATAAAAATTTCTTCAAATTTAATTTGCAAAAAACAGAATAAGTACAATAATAATAAAATTAAATAAAAAAAACAATTTTTTACAAAATAAAAATTATGATAATAATAATTAATTTTACTTTACAAATAAAATCTAAAAATTCAAATGTCACACCTAAAGTCTAGTGATTATATAATAAATACAATTAGGTGTATATATATAATATATGATAAATGGAAATGTAGAATAAAGCAATTTCAATCAATAAATTTTATATAAATTTTATTATATTTATTACTATTAAATATACTGTTTTTATATTAACTTTTATGACATTTATTTTCTAAGTTTAAGTTTTATTTTGTTATTTATAATCAATTAAATATAAATTTAATTTTTAAAATAAATATTGTACTTATATATATTTTTTTTTAAAAAGTTAAGATTTAATATATTTACGTAAAATACAAATTTATTATTAAACAATAGTTACAACTATCATCTTCTTAATTATGAGATTTATATTTTTAAATAATTTATTAATTAGTTTTGAAGTTTATTAAATAAAAATTGAACTTTTCAAACTAATTTAATAAAACTAGAATAACTATATGATAATTTAAATTTAAGTTATATTTATTTGTAGTATAAAAAATTGCAAATCACAAAATTATTATATGAAAATTTGTTTATTACCAATAAATTTTCTAGAAATATTTATTAGATTTTATACTATTTTTTATACATAATAATAATAATCAAAGAAAAAATTCAAAAGTCATGAATTATTTATATAGTCAAACAATTTTTGGTTCATTAGATAATAATATATTTTTAGTATTCATATATATATTCAGTATAATAATAGCAATATTTATGATTTTTACTATTTTTTTTATTATAATACAGTATATATGTTATTGCAATTATAGTACAGTATATTCATATTTTTTGGCCATAATATTAATTGTATTAAATATGAGTCAAATGTTTAAAGAAAATTATTTAATTTATTATGCATTTATAATAATATTTATCTAACATTTTATATACTGCATAATTGTATTATTTATTCAGAATTATTTAAATATATAAAAAATACTTATAAACTTTACTTTATTAATATAGTATTAATAATATTCCAATTTATTTTAGTTAAAATATTATTAAATTAAAAAAAAAATAAAATAGATTAGTAAAATATATAAAATCAATAAACATTAAAAATTTATTTATTTATCATACATTTTATTGTTAACATTTTTTTATATTAAAGTCATATTTATTAACAGATATTTTTATTATTTAATCTTTCGTTTTTATTCAATTTTAAAAAATAAATATTAAATTTTGATTTTTACAAATATAAAATAATAATCATTATTTGTAAATGTCATACAAAATGTAACCTTTGATTATTTAATCTAAATTAGTTATATTATTTTTCATGAATAAATAATAAATTTAAATGTAACTTACAATTTAAAAATATTTTATATTATAAGATCAAATTTGTATTATTTAACATACAATATATTTTATATAAATTTATATATTCATATATCATATTCAAATAGAAAATAAATAATATAAGGTAGACTTTATTTATTTAAAATAGGAAAAATATATATAAAAATAATAAATACACGTATTTATCAAATAATTTTAATAATATTTTTGAACTATAAAAAATCCATAGTATATATGTTTTTGTATGTTTTTTTAGAAAAATATTTGAAATAATATACTTTTATAAATAAAGAAAATACATTTATATTATTCTAACTGAAATATTATGTAAAAAACAAAAATATGATATATTAAATGTTTTTAAGTATTTGTGTTATAATTTTTTTTAGAAATCAATCAGACAATAATTTTTTATATACAATATCTGTAATTTATTTTATTTTAAGTAGAATATTTATGGTCATTGATATAATTTAAATTAATATTATAATAGTATATTGTATTAATAATAATAAGTTTTATTTAAAAATTTTGTAATTAAAACATTATAATGTAGATTTTTTAATTTATATAAAAAAATATTTTTGTAAAAAAACATTTTAATATTAATCAATTCTTTTTATTTTTAATATAAACAATGGTATTATATAACTTATAAATTTTCTATAAATATTCAATATAATAAATGATATATATAAGATCTATACAAATGTATAGTATTTATATATTCAGTACATTATATAAAAGCAATTTTCTTTATTGTCTTAAATGTTATGCTCAATATTTTTTTTATTATTTCAACTATTTTTATTATTATTTGATTCTTGGCATTTATATAGTATTTGATACGCTCTCTCTCTCTCTCTCTCTTTCTCTCTTTCTCTCTCTCTCTCTCTCTCTCTCTCTCTCTCTCTCTCTCTCTCTCTCTCTCTCTCTCTCTCTCTCTCTCTCTCTCTCTCTCTCTCTCTCTCTCTATGTCGCTCAAGGGTCTCTTAGCTGTGTTTGTAAAAGAAAATTTGTATTAAAAATACCAATAGTTTCATAAATATGGGTAAAAACTGACTATATATATATAGTTATATTTAAAATACAGAATATTCTGTATTTAAAATACATACACTAAATGTAAAAGATTAGATAATTTAAATAAAAACACTGTTGAATGCCAACACACAACTGATGTTATATAATATATAAATTTATAAATCTTTACTAATATATATACTGACTGTTGAAAATGATAATAAAATTGTCATTTAAATGAAAAAAATATTAAAATTTTTTTAGTATTTACGCTAAGGAAACGACATTTTTTGATATATACTTGTGACGCATAAAAATTATAATAAAATTTCACACAATTTTGAACTTAATAAATAAAATAAATGTCATCTAATATAACTAAATTGTTGTAAAAAAATCACTGTTTACTTTATCATAAAATTTTTATTATAAAAATGAATTTATTATCTACAATTATCATTATTATTGACTATTAAATTTTATTTTTTTATAGATATTACAAATTAAATTTTCTACACATAAATTTTTGTATATATATATTTAATTATATATAACGTATTATATAAACAACTAAATAGCTAAATTTTATTGGTTGAACAACTTAACAATTTGTTATATAGCAAATTGACATCTAGGGATATATTGTATATATATATATATATGATATATAAAATTGTTAGCCTAAAGCATATTTGTGTTAACATGTATAACAATTCAATTATTTTATATGTTTGTGTGTTTATATTACATTTTTGAAAAGCACTTACAGTACTACACAATACATTATAACGATTGTATTTGTTATATTGAATATATCAGTAAAATATTATAATATAATATATAATCATAGTTTATAGTACTCTAATCGACTGTTTTATTAAAGTGATCATTTTCAAATATTATCCACAAAAATAACCTATAATTTTCATACAAGTTTTTTTTTGTATATTATATCTACATATTTATAAATCTCGTATATAATATTAGAAATTTTTATTAATAAACAAAAATTACTATATAGAAATTAATATTATTAATTAGTTTACTTGGATAAAATTTTAAAAATATGCATAATATTTGACAGTTTTAGATTTTTTAAAAATATTTTTAAATATTTCAATCTTGTTTGTTTATATTAAATAAATTTTGTTTATTATTTCTATTTATCATAATTATTCCCTGAATGTTGGTCATCTTATATTTTACAATATACAAAATTTTATTTTTAAATAATACTTGACATTCATTATAGCTAATTTAAGTAAAGTATTTTGTCAATAATAAAATTATTTCATAATATTAATTGATTTAAGTTAGTATTTATTATCATATAAGTTATAATTTAATATGTTATAAAATTGATACAGTATATATTTATTAATATTGAATATGTTTTATATAGTTATTAATGAATTATTATTATAATTATGTATCTTTTTTATTATAATGTTAATTATGAAACAAAAATTGCTTAATTGTTAGTATTTATATATTTAATTTTTTTATAATAATAATAACAACAATAATTATATTTCAAGTATTGTATAAATTGTTTAAAAAATAAAATAATAGAAATTTTCTATTATTTATTTTCATTTATTTTTTGTTGAATTATCAATAGATGAAATAGTAGTACATTTGCGCGATGAGCTCCGGGCTACTAAATTGCAACTATACGAACGGGATCAGCAGCTGCTAAAATTGCACCGGGAGATACATAAAATGAAATGTGTCCTTGAACAAAAATCGTTAACATTAAAATCGTCTATCAGTTCGATGACCGGTGGCGTTGGCAGCAGTGGCGTCGGCGGCAGCGGATCGGCTACTGGTCCGACAAAAAAGTGCGGCGTCAGCGGTGAATGCTATTCACAATCGTCGGCACTGCAGATGCCGGTGATGAAGGTGTCCAAAGACAACCGGTCGAGACAGTTGATCAAAGAGGCACTGCTGGACAACCAGTTTTTGAGACACTTTCTCGACACACATCAACTGAAACTGATTGTCGACGCCATGTATGAGAAAGAGTTTGCCAAAAACTGTCTGATTTGTAAACAGGGTACCAATGGTTCGCACCTGTATGTCATAGCCTATGGCCACTGCGAAATTATCGATAGTAACAATACACTGGTCAATCAATTGGGACCAGGCAAGGTAAATAACTCAATAGTATAGTACTACAGTTAATAAAATTTTTAATTATATTTTATTGCAGTATATTTAGATTAATAATTTTTGAATTAATAATAATTATAATACTATTAATCATTTTTTTTTGTTTTTAGGCATTTGGCGAATTAGCACTGTTATATAACTGCACCCGTACTGCTAGTGTTAAAGGTATTAATCACATAAAATAATTGCTTAAAATTCAATATACAATATACAACAATTTATAATATATATATATATATATAGTTATAAATGTTGAAACAATATAATGTTAATAATTATAGTAAGTAATTACTTTATTTGGTTGATTGACAAGATAATTAAAGTTTTGGGGAAAAAATAATAATACTACTAAAAGTATTAAATATATATATATATAGAAACTAATATAATTAACTTTAAAAATAGTAGCATTAATTGTATATAATTTCAAATATCAAACAAAATGTTTACTATAGTATTAGACTGTAATATCATATGTTAAACTATACAATAATAATGTTTAATCAATTATTACAAAATATAAGAGTTAAGTCCAATAGATTAATGAAATATTAGAAAACTTTATATTAAATATACAGTATTATTATTATTATATAATTATTATAAAAATCTAGTTTAAATTATACAGTCTAAATAATATTAAGTCACTAATTAAAAGTATATATCATATATACTATATGTATATAGAAAAGTTAATTTTTTAGTAAAATATAAATATAATAATGTTTTTGTATAAAAAATGACTTTCAATTTTATGCGTTTATAAACACTTTTCAAAATTAATTTCTTATGTCATTTGCAACGAAAATTTAAGAATATTCTTAAATTACTTTTTTAAGAATAATAATAATAAAATAATAATAATAATAATAATAATAATAATAATAATAATAATAATAATAATAATAATAATAATAATAATAATAATAATAATAATAATAATAATAATAATAATAATAATAATAATAATAATAATAATAATAATAATAATAATAATAATAATAATAATAATAATAATAATAATAATAATAATAATAATAATAATAATAATAATAATAATAATAATAATAATAATAATAATAATAATAATAATAATAATAATAATAATAATAATAATAATAATAATAATAAAATAATAATAATAATATAATATTTTTGACACATATACACATTACTTACTCAACAATAATAATAAAAAGATTATTTTTTTCAAATAATAATAATCCTATTTAGTTATTATTACAACATTAATCATAATGTATTTTATTATAATTATTATTAACAATAAAAATTTTAACAATATTAACAATTTTACAATAAAAACTAAAGCTAAAAAATTTAAATGTTTAATTATTTGGTACAATAAAATTTATTGCCATAATTGTCTATTTTAAAATATAATCTAAAACATAGTCAGGGACACAATATATATGATTTTGATGCACACATTTATTCATAAATATTACAATTAGCTAACACACCCTATGATTTGTTTCATAATTGAGTAAATACTGTACAATACTTTCTATTTTTAAACCTATGAAATCATTGTAAAAAATAGAGTAAATATATAGATAGACTCTATAAAATTATATTATTATTATTAGTATATATATATATATATATATATATGGTATGAATTAGGTCATTGCTATCAAATTTGGTATATTAAAAATGACGGAAATAATCACTGATAATCAATTAATAATGTTTTTTATATTGATAATAAAAATATGCTATTATTTATTAAATATTTTTTTAAAAAATGATGCCATTGAAATAATTAAATTATATTATATATAAACTATTCATATTATTTTTACAAAAATATTTTTTTTAATCATATTATGTCAAATAAGATCAAAATGTAGAGTAATTGCATATCAATTCTCTAAACAATATATAAAATATTATATTATATTATATTTTGATTAATTATCACTATAATAATAATAAAAATAAACTTTCAAATATATACTGAAAATATATATAATATATAAATAAAATTGCAACTTTAAAAATATGTATAAAATTACTCAATTATTTAGTAATTTTTTATTTGATATTGTAATACCAAGATACTAAATACTAAATATGATACTAATTTTTAAATATAGTGTATATATATATAATAATAATTTGGTACTTAAATGAAAATTTGAATAAATTACAACAACAAAAATATTTGATATAATAATTTGTTAATTAATTAATTAATATATATAATAATTTTCAAATAGCATTGACTAAAGTGAGAACCTGGGTATTGGATAGGCGTGCCTTTCAGGTGATTATGATGAAAACAGGCAAAGATAAAAATCAACAATATAAAAAGTTCCTACAAAGGTATTATATATATATATAAAATAAATAAATGCAATTAATTAATTAATTATTAATTTATCTAAAAATAAAATTTTAAAAAATTAGATATTATAGATATTACTTGTTGTTATTTTATTATAATATCTACGAAAAATTTCAATAAACTAATATATTAGATATTATATATCCTAAATAATAATAATAAATATAATAGATTTAATTAATAAAATATTTTTATTTATTTATTTAATTCAAGTGTTCCTCTACTTCACAATCTGAATGAGGAGTTAATCGGAAAGATTGCCGACACTATCGAAGCGGTATTTATTTTTAATAAAACTAAAATACATAAAAACAAAACAAACAAACAAACAATTTTTATACTTTTCCTCGGTGTGGACACACCTATTAAATAAAAAACAAAAAGTTCAAGTGTTTGTCAATTACTTTTGTTGTCAATTAATTATGAAAATTAAAATATGATAAAAAAAACAGGAGTACTATCCGGCCGGCGACTACATCTGCCGACAGGGCTGTTCCGGCGACTCGTTTTACATAATAAGCGCCGGCTCTGTAAAAGTCACTCAACATAACTTTATGGGCGAAGAAACACTTCGGACACTGAAAATGGGCGACTATTTTGGCGAACAGGCCCTACTAATGACCAGTAGCTCAGCCCTACGTACGGCTAATGTTGTTTCACTAGACTGCGAGTGTCTAGTTTTGGACAGATCTAACTTTCACTCACTAATTGGTGATCTTAACGAACTTAAGTGAGTGTTTAATATTAACTCTCATATAATTTAAAGAAGAAAAAACAAATAAATAAACAGAGAATTATTATTCAAAAATTAAATTATTGGCTTAACTTAAAGTATATAATTTTTTTTTAAATTAGACTAAAAAATACAAATAATTTTTTTGCAATTAAATAAAATCAATTATTAATCACTATTGTATCATAGTTGTACTTATTTGTATTTTGCATAGTCAAACATATAGAGTTATACCGTATAAATTTAATAGTATATACTATATTAATAAACTTTATATTTAGTTCAATACATTAAAAACAACAACAAATTAAATTATTTTAAATTTTATATATACATTAATACACAGTAGTATTGTAAATACTGTACAGTTATAATAAAATATTAATTTTAAATGATTTTCAATCAAAAAAACTAAAATTTGATTTGATTTCAACAGAACAAAGTATTACGAGGACAGGGATGTGTTTCACGGATTGGACAGTTCGGAAAGTGACGACAGTGTCGATTCATCGGTAATTGATATGAAACTATCGGATCTGGAAAGGGTTACCACACTAGGCATTGGAGGTTTTGGTAAAGTAGATCTCGTTCGTCACCATCAGAATCGGCAACAAGTGTTTGCACTCAAGTCCTGTTCAAAAGCATTTGTCCGAAGCACACGACAGGAACAGCATATCAACAATGAAAGGGTTGTCCAGCGATTGGCTTCACGCCATCAGTTTGTCTGCAAACTGTATCGTACGTTCAAAGACGATCAATCAGTTTATTTTTTATTAGAGGCAGCACTAGGAGGCGAACTATGGACACTATTGAGGCACAGGTATGTAAAGATAAGAGTTAGAGTTAGTCTAAAATATTTTTTAACGATCTAATGAGTTTACGTTATATCATTTTTTGTTGTTGTTGTTAATTTAGGGGTGCATTTGAAGAACCGGCCGCACGATTCTATATCGGTTGTGTTGTCGAAGCGCTCCGGTATCTGCATTCACATCAAATTATTTATCGCGATCTGAAACCGGAAAACTGTTTGCTCGACAAAACTGGTTATCTGAAGATTACTGACTTTGGGTTCAGTAAAGTATGTATTGTTGAAAAAATAATGTCAACAATTGTCTGTATTTTTTGTTGTTGATTAATCTATTGACACACACACACCCTCCCCAAAAAACACCAGATCCTCACTACTGGCGATAAAACGTGGACATTTTGCGGTACACCCGAATACGTAGCACCGGAGATCATACTGAACAAAGGTCACGACCAGGCGGTCGACTTTTGGTCAATTGGTATACTGTTGTACGAGTTGTTGACGGGAATGTAAATATGACTTATCAATAGTTAACACATACAATGACATAATAGCACCGTTTTTTATATACTGTATATATTATGTAGGCCTCCCTTTACCTCTGCTGATCCATTGAAGACATACAATATTATACTTCGAGGATTTGATGCCATCGGCTTCGAAGAGGCCATCTTTTCGAAGAACTGTGTAAACCTTATCAGACGTCTGTGCCGTGAAAACCCGTCCGAACGGATCGGTGTCCAGAAAAATGGCTATTCAGAGCTCAAATCGCACAAATGGTTTGCCGGTTTCGATTGGGATCAACTCGTCCGCAGACAGATTAAGCCGCCAATTGTTCCCCGACTGAACAGTGCTACCGATAGTCACTATTTTGATGTAACACCCGATCAGACACTCAAAGAAGCAGAATTTGATATGAAAGACATGGCTGTAGATACAGATCAAGAGTACGATAAAAGTTGGGATAAATATTTTTGATGGACAAGTAGTTTATATATATTTTTTTTGAATATAAAATAAAATTGTTGCCATATTTTATCATTTGGATTTCAAATTAACATATATAATATGATATATTATTTGTTGTATTTTTTAAATGTATTAAATATTGTTATATTTATAAAGAGTAATTATACTCATTAATTGTTAATTTAATTAAAATTATTGTTAAAACTGTTTAATTTTTAAGTATTTATAACTAAATATTGTTTGTTAAATTAAATGTTGTGTTTTTATTTATTAATTTATCACATACTTTATATTAAATATAATTAATTATATTCAGTAATTGCTTTAAATTTTATGATTAAAATCAAATAACAATTGTTGTGTAAATTACTTATACTTAAAAATAAATTAAAATTATTTCTTTTATTAATTAACATATCAATTTATATATAATTTGTTTTATATTTATCTAAAAATTTGAATAATTAAAAAATAAATTGATAAAATAAATTATGTTAACATTATCTTTATATAGACAATTCATTTATTGATTTGTTATTATAATTAATGATAATAAATATATTTAAGCTTTGATTTACCGGTAATTCTCAATAAAAATTACAAACAAAAATGTAAATTACTAAATAAATTAGTTTTCTTAAAACTTATTATTTTAATATTTTTCATATCAATTTTAATTGTAATTTATCTTTAATACTGTTTGTTTAATTATTTTTAAAAACTAAAGATTTAATTATACATTTAGCAAATTAATAGATTAAAATAATATAAATTTTATTGCATTCAATATATATTTTTAAACAAATTGGTTATATTTTGAAATATTATTTTGGAAATTGTTATAGTTTAAATGTTACATAATTAATAGATTATGTAAAATAATTCAAAACAATTGACTTTATTTTAAATTATACGTTGTTTTAATACGTTAAATATAATTTTATTTACATGTATTATATTATATTTATTTTATTTTTATAGTAATTATTTTATGCAATAATACTTATTTAGGCATTTTAAGGATATTTTATTTATATAAAATATGATTAATGTTTAATATATTGAATAATTATCATAATAAGGTTTTTATATAATAGATAACAATTGGCAGCAATAGGATTTAACAAAATAATTAGCTATTATTTAAGCTAAACATAAAGATTATAGATATAATATATTTGTTGTTGATTTACATTTTAATAAAAACACAGTCAAAACATTTATATGATTAGACAGTAATAATATTATTTAGTTATTATTATTTTTTCATTATTATAGTCTGGATCTAATTTTCAATATCGACGCTAACAATATCGTTATCCTTATCATTATTAGTATTATTAGTCATACTATTATTTTTATCATTGTTTACTGTCTCGACAACGGCTTTACCACTATTATCATTTTCATTGACTTTGCTGACAACATCCCGATCCCCATCATTGGCAACAACTGTTGTGCCACTACTACCACTACCACCGCCGCTATCATTGCCGGCCGCAGTTGTCTTGACGGTGGCTACTGTTACTGTTGTTGGTGTCTGATTGTCGTCAAACTCGTTACTGGAGGCCGACGACGGTGACGGTGTCTCTGGCTGTAGCTGTGTATGCGATGACTGTTTAGTACGAAGCGATCCAAACAGTCGGCCAAACCGTTTGCGAAAGCCTTTCTGTTCGGAGGCGTAATAGTTAGACGACTTTTCTTTGTTGGTATTGTTAGGTAAGTCGTGGTCGTCCTTTGACCGACGTCTCACATTGTGGCCATTGTTGTTGGCATTCATACGCGGCGATAGCTTACTGCTGGCCGCTTCCCGTTCACGTTCAACGTTGCGCTTGATTTCGGCCAACTCGACGTCGTCTACCGATTTTGATTGACGCCTATGTGTCAACTGTTTTGGCTTCATTTGCATCGGCATTCGGGTCGGATTCACGATTGGCCCGATATCTGAGGCCATCACTACACTGATGCCGATCTGTTTACATATTATAATAAAAATAATATTATTAAGCAATTTTATACAGTAATTTATTATCTATATATATATATATATATTAATAATTATTATTCAATTAAATAACTATAAATATAATACTATAAAAATTGTTTATTATTTGCACATTAATGTTTAACAATTTGCTATTAATTTTATTAGGGACAGTTAGCAAATAATAAAAAATTATACTAAATAATAATAATTTTCTAAAAATAATTATATTATATTGTTTAAGTTACAGAGTCTTACTTATTTACAATATTGTATAATATTATATAAATAATTGAATACAAAAGTTAATTGAAAAAAACTTATTTAGATTAATTAAGAATTTTCTATTAATAAAATTTAATTATAAATAAATTATTGACATATAAATTGATTTTTTTCTTAACTGATATATTTATATAATAATAAAAATGTTATATAATTTATTTTAAAAATATATATTGAAAATTGTTAAGAAATTTATTGTAATACTCAACAAAACCGTTAATCTAATTTAACTTAATTTTAGTTTTACAAATAAATTATTTTGATTATAAGTTATTATTTTATAATAGTGTATACTGTATAAAGATATGTCTAATATATTATTAATGCTAAATTATTGTAAACTATTTGTATACATAAAAAAATTAACTTATAATATTTTCATTATTTATTAATTAATTATATAATAACTAGAAATTAAAATTATTATTATTTTTTAATACATCACTGATATCATCGTCGACTATAGCATTGCCGACCGATTTGCTTCTCCGTCTCATTTGTTCGGCATTGGCCTCATTTCGCAAACGTTTTTGTTTGCGTAGTCGCCGTAGTCTAAGCGACTCCCGGAGCGCACGGGTCAGTGTCTGCAACGATCCAAATGTCGAACTTCTGATACGGTGTTCCTTATCGGAAGCGGCGGCCGCGGCGGACATATTAATTATTGGACCCACTATTATATAAACTTATATATTTATTTTATATAAAAAGGTTTATTATTATTAAGTGTTAAGCTTAAGTTATTTATTATTCAAAATCTTCAATCAATCAATAGGTAAAACTAGTAGTCAACATATATCCATATCTATATATAAGTAAATATATATTACATTAATAGCACGCAAATACAGTAAATTCAATCATTTTAATATTTGAATAAAATAAATCTCTCTTTTTCTCTCTCTGTGTGTGTGTGTGTGTAAGTGAAAGCACAATATGAAAAAAACATTTAGCTTTTAGCTCACAATACTATCTGTCTATAATAATAATAATAATAATAATACAGTAAATGATAATCAAAACTCACAAACAGTAAGAGTGAGAGACAGAGAAATAGAGAATATTCTGTATATGTGTTTGACGTTAAGTATTAGTTGTAGTGATTCTGTGTGTTGTCTATATATGTCTGTCGCACAACAGGTATGTGTTTGTGTGTGTGTGTGTGTGTGTGTGTGTGTGTGTGTGTGTGTGTGTGTGTGTGTGTGTGTGTGTGTGTGTGTGTGTGTGTGTGTGTGTGTGTGTGTGTGTGTGTGTGTGTGGATAGAAATGTATATAGTTTTTACAGATATAATAAACTACATATGAGTTTGTATGTATTATATATATAATATTAAATTTAAATTATATTTAATAGCACTGTACATACCGTATTAAACGACAATGATCTGCATAATTAATTAAATAATTAAGAAGTTAATATTTATAAATAATTATATTGTTTTATTAATTATATTATGTTAAAAAATCTATATTAAACTTATTTATTTTTAAATTTAAATTAAATGGAATATTAATACTTATTATTATTATTTAGAAATTTAATTATTTAATATAATTACAAAAATCTAATGTTTACAAATTAAATGAACGACACATTCATTTATATTAAAATACATATAAAAATATTAAACACTAAAAGTTTTAAACATCATTAATAACTGTATGCCAGTGCTTGGCATGTGATACGGTATATTCAGTAAAATATAAGTGCATGTCTATAAGCACTGGTAGCTATAATATATATATATATAGGATATGTATAGCAAATATTCTACTATATAAGATGCAATTATTATTTAATATATATATATACAGTATAAGCTGCACATTCACAATCAATAATGATGATGTTGAAACTGTAGATTCATAATATACTGTATACTGTATATATAGCTATGGTAGTTAATAAAATAGATAAGGTCAATCATAAACTCATATTTCCTCAAGCACTAGGTTGTTACAGTTTATTATATTTAATAATTAATAGTAAATAATAATAATAATAATAATACTTTTAATTTTAATTAAAATAATTCATTAAAATATAAAATTTGTAGAATAACAATTAATTTTATAAAATTTCTCAGAAATATTCTTTAATAATTATTTAGTGTATTATACAATAATATTAAAATTCAAAATATTAATTATCTTATTCAATGATAATATAATAATATAAAAATTATTAGTAATACTTATTAATATACAGTATTTAATTTTTATTTTAGTATATATATACTAGATAATATCAAAAATAATTTAATCATTAAAAGATTTATATATTTTTGCTTATTTTTGTAATTAGTAGTTCTATATTATTGTATATTTATATAGTTATGTACAATAAATAATTTGCTAAATTTTTATATTTACTATTTAATTATAAATTTTTGATATATTCAAAAATATTATTTAAAAATATAATTGAAGTAAAGGCTGTTTTAAAAATACTATATATACATGTTTATCAATATTATATATATATATATTTACAGTATATTTATAAATTATGTCTAATATGAAAATATTCCACTTTAAAAATATTGAATTACAAAAATACTGTAAATAAATACAAATAAACTTATAAAGAATAATATAAAGAATATAATAACACCAAATAATTTGCATAAAATTTACACAAATATAATAAAAGTTTTATATACTTTATATTTATAATTTGGTACAGTATTGTATATATCTGTTATATGCAAACAACATTATTTTATTTGCTAACAAACTCTATGCTTAACAATATTATACATACATATATATATATAATAGATAATTATTGAAAATTTTATAACAAAATTATTCATTCATTTAATTGTATTCATTATAAAGTTATACAAAATATAATGTTGTTATAAAAAAATTCAATACAAGTATATATTTATATGAATATTATTCATCTATGATTGAATTTATATTTATTTTACTACTTTAAAGTGATATATAAAATATAGTATATCATTATTATAAATCATTATAGTATATTATTATTATTAAATATAAAAACATAAAGTTTTTGATAGACTTTAGTATAATGTTATTTTATGATTTTTTTGAAAAGCTTTAAATCATAATCACTTTTGTAACAAAAGTTTAAAACAAAATTCATTTTTTATATATTATTATTTTTTGTTAATGAGTATATATATATAAATATATATATATATATATATATATTAAAAATACTAAATCAATATATAAAATTTTTATAAGATTTTAAATAAACGAACTTTAACAAAGATTTACACTAAATTAATTTTTTTGTGAAATATTTGTTACTTTTTATTTGTTAAATAAAATGCTAATTTATATAAAAATTTGACATTTCATTTGAAATGTTGACATTTATAATTTTTTTTCTCTTTAATATTTTTACATGGTAATAATAATTTTTATTATCAAAATTATAGAAAATAATATTTGTAAGTATTATTCTTATTATTATTGTTATTATTATTAGTAGTAGTAGTAGTAGTCAAGTATTTATTGTGTTTTAATATAAAAAAATAAATTATTTTATTGAAAATTGATAACAACTTAATTTTATATATATACTATATACCTGTAGAATACTTGTTAAAATTTTGTAATAGGATATCATTTTAAATTATTATATATTATAAAAAATCAATTGTTTTATAACTGAGATAACAAATGTAATAAAAAAAATTCCTAATAATTTCATATAATAATATAATAGTTTTCCATTAAATTACAATTGAATAATACAATTTTCTTGTAAATCAATTTTTATTATAAAAACCTATTAATATTTTTATATAATTTTATTTATTTTATTAAATAACATCAACTGTATAAAGTAATAAAAGCTATTTATTTTTTGAAAATAATAATTTCCTCTAAATTATATAATATAATGTGTAATATATTTTTCATTAATGAGCAAAACTACGTCCCTTTCGTGTATTTTATTATTATTATTATTAATACTAATATATATACATTTGTTTCAATATTTATTATATACACACATTTTCTTAGAATTTTATAGATCTATTAGATATAGAAAAATCTTATTTTTTTAATAAATATTTTTTTCTAAGGATTTAGTTATAGTACTTGTATATATTGTATATATATATTGTACATAATGTACATATTGTAGATACATTATAAATATAAATTGTATACATATTAGTATTTTAGAAAACAATAAAGGTTCAATACATTTTATTATATTATATAAATCTTATTTGAATTTCACTTAGAATTTAAATGTATAAAACATTTTTTTTAAATGATATTATTATTTCATAAATATATAAAATACATTTTGTATTTTTGTCCATTATTTTATTTAAAGATTACATACTATATTTACCTTATTATTTATTTTTGTTTTTGTAATAAATTTTAAATATACTAAAATGCTAGATTGGCAAAAATAAAAAAACATTAATATTATAGAACTGTATAAAAAATATATTAATATATGATATATTAAATAACTCATAGATTTTGTAATATTTGTCTTATTATTACTATAATACAAAAATTTTGCGATTATATAATATAATATTAATAACTAAAAATAGTTTTATAACACTACTAAATAAATATTTTTTATACAGTAATATAGTTTTAGGACAAATATAATAAATTTATAAAAATAGTTTTAAATTAAAAATTAAATAAAAATTTATTTTAGTTCATTTTTACAAATTATATTAATCATTTATTTATATCTATAATATATAGTAATTTAATATTTAATATTTATTGAAATTTTCATTTATAAATAACATTCAATAAATATTATAATTTTTTTAAAATTATTTATAAATAGAAATAAATCCACAAGTTAATATTAAATGTTAAATGTTAATAAAACATTTAAGTTTAATGTAATTTAAATATAATAACATTTTAGCACACACATACACACATATATATATAAACACACACAAACACACATACACACACACATACACGTACTCTCTCTCTCTCTCTCTCTCTCTCTCTCTCTCTCTCACACACACACACACACACACACATACACACACACACACACACTTAAGTACTAATTATGTAGACATTTTATAATTGATTATTAACAATTTTAAAAATATTTTCTAATCAATTAATACATAATAAATTATTAAATAAATAATAGTTTATACAAAATTTTGACACAAAAACTAAAAATGATAATTATATGAAATTGACATTAAAATTATTAAAAATTATTATTATTATTATTATTATAAATTATACATTATTAAGCTGCGAGACTGATTGCATCGAAATCGACCGATGTTTGAGCTAATGATTCTCCGGTCGCATAAATCCTATATATTTCTAGCGGTTCACCGGTTGATAATATTGTCGTTTTTGCTATTGTTGTTGCTGTTAGTGGTTGTGATGTTAGTCTTGTTATTGATGGTGGTGTTAGTGTTGTTGTTGTTGTTGGTGGTGATGGTGTTATTGTTGTTATAGGTGTTGATGTTTTTGCTATTATTATTAATAATAATATTATTACATCCAAATAATAGAAATACATTTTTTTTTTTAAAAATATATAATTAGATATTTTAATTTATTTTATGTATGTGTTTTTAAATTTAATATTATACTAATTAATAATACAATACTAGACGTCAATAGTATTTATTAAAAAGTTATGCTTACAAATTATAAAATATTTATTTATTACTATTTATTTAAAAAAATACTTTAATAGAAAATATTCATATATAATATTATTGCAAATACATAAATTATTTGTAAAAATTTTTAAAGATTATTCAAAGATTACTATAAGTAATTTGAATTAATTAAAAAAATAATAGTTAAATTAATAATAATGTTAATGATAGATTTAATTATAAACATTAATAATTAAAATAATAAAACGCACTTAAATGTTGTTTAGGTTGATTCAGATTTAATAAGTTTAAATTATTTAATGACTTAAATAGTGATCCATTTATCCAGGACATATTTATTAAAATCATTAAAAAACATAATAATAAATATTTATTATACATAGTAAATTGAGTGTTAATTATAATTGAGTAATATTATAATTACCATATGAGAGATACAGTAACAATTTTTTTTAATTTAATTATGTAATTGATTTTATTATTTAATTTAATATAAACAGCCATTTTTTTATTAAAAATGAAAATAAGCTTTATTAGTTTATTACTATCCAATCAAATGTAACTTTCATTTAATTTGAAAAATATTTTTAATTTTAAATAATTATTATTAGATGATAATAAAATAACACAACATAATTGTGAAACTACAACAAGTTATGAAATAAAAATTATCATGATGTTTTGTCAACAGGTAAAATTTTGTACCGGTGCTAGGTTTGACCGTTTTAGTAGACATCCAGTTCCCAGTTTTTTATCATAATTATATATCTACGACCAATAAGTCATATTTTACAACTCGATTAGATAATATTGCAATATTTTGATCATAATGAGACATAGAAATGTTTTTCAACAATAATAATATTACTATAATTTTATGATAACCTATTTTTTATTAATATAATGTAGATTAACTATAATAATGACATTTTATTACATATATATGGTTAAAATTATTACAAAAATATGTTTTAATAAAAAATATTAATATATACAGTATATAAGTGTGCAACTGTCGTCTAATTATTTTTATATAGATGTCAATTTACATTTTAATAATAATTTATAATAACTATGCCACAAGTCAATAATATGTAAATTTTTAAATATTACAATTTATATTTATTTTTGCATAACTGCATCATACAATTTATTTTCATTTATTCATAATTTATTTTTACTTAAATAAAATAAAATCAAAAAAATAATGTAAAAACTTTTTAATTACATTAACCATTGCAATAATTGCTATTGGCAATAATATATTATATTGAATGAGTCATATGATTAAATTTACATTTATATTACAGTAAAATATAAATGTTATTATAATGTACATTGAATTTTCAAATAAAATAAAAATACATTTTGAATAAATTAAATTGCATTGATAATAATTTTTTCCACTAATTTTAGCTATCGTCTTTATTAATATGCAACTGTAAAAATAATCAATGTTTATTATAGACTGCAGTTAAGTTTTTTTTCATACTATAGTTGTAGAAAAATGTTTTTTAAAAAAATCAATGTCACACCAATTATATTGAAAATTATCAATTACCTTACATATTATCCAAATTTAACAATAATGTGATTATATATAAAATATAGAAATATTTTAGGAATATATATATATATATTTAATTTATAAAAACATGTATAATAATAATTTGTAGATATAAACTATATTCATTAGAACAATATTGTCTAAAGAATAATCTATTATTTATATCATATTTTTTTTAAAAATAAAATCTATTTTAAACGTTTATTGTCCTTCAATTTATTATGATCTCTCTCTCTCTCTCTCTTTCTCTCTCTCTTTCTGTCTCTCTCTCTCTCTCACTTTTACTTTTTTCTCAATCATAAACACACATTTTTTAAAACCTGTTTTTTTGGTATCTTAGTATACTGTATATAAATATTTATATACTGTACATATAAGTTGTAATACTCTAGATTATATAAATATATTTCATATTAACTTTACATATATAATAAACAATATATTTATTAATTTTGGTTTAATTTTATTTTGTTATCATTATTTTCGAAAAACTAACTAAATCTATATTATCTATATAAGTACTACTTGTAATATATAATTATCTTTACTTATATAAATAATATATAATACTATTGAAGATGCTATTAAAAATTGCCATTCATGGACACACTAACAAAAAATTTATTTATTTAGTAGTGATATAAATAATATTGTATTTAGTAAATAATTATTTTTCTTTATACTTGTTTTGGTGTATTAGTATCTTTTTTTTGTTAATAAAATATCATCACTTATTATATTAAATATAGACTAACATTTGTTTGTTTGTGTGTGTGTTTGTAAACTGTGTGCTAATGTAAAAATAAAACCTTGACTTTCTCAATTTGTGGGGACTATTTTATTATATTATTATTATTAAAAATATATTATTATAGGTGTGTGAACTCTTATTTACTGTCAATTTTGTTTGTTTTTTATTATAACGACAATTAATGAAAAAAAATTTTTATTGTTGATAAAATACATTATCTAAATACTCTTATAATTGCTTATCATGGAGTTCAAGTTTATTTTTCAAAATATATATATATATATATTTCAATGATTAAATAATTGTGTATACCGTAATATTTTTATATAGTATGCTATTTTTAGATACATCCTGGTAATGATAGTAATTAAAAAAAAATATTTTTTTATAGGTGTGCTAAAATATGTCACATATCGTAAAAACATAATACCCAAATTATTACTAACCAAATATAAATTAGACTAAACTCAAACATACAATTTAAACTAACAATGATTTGATCAATAATTTTTAAAAATCATTTAAAACATTAATTTATTTTCTAAAAAATAAACTTTGTTAAAAACAATTTTTTGTTGTTGGTCAATTGTGTTAATTGAAAATATAAATTATTTTTGTGGGATATTTATTTTTTTTTTGGGGTCCCATGAATTTGCTTGGGTATGAGTTTTGTCTAAAATATTTAATAAAAATTATTTTCCGAAATAAAAACATAAAATTATTCCGTTCGTAAACAACAACAACAAAAAAAATGTTTAGTTATTTTGTTTTATTTTTTTTTTGGTGCTAACCATTGCTTCAAAAAATTTTATTGCTTGACTTGACATTGAAAAATGACTAATACATAGACTATTGCTGGCATTGCTAATATAAATAGCACACATGTAGTTAAAAAAACTACTAATACTGTAGTTAAATAATAATAATAATATGATGATGAAAAAATTAATTTATATCCATCTAATATTGACTTGCTAATTACTATTATTAAATTTTATGTTTTATTTTATTTTTGTTAGAAATAAGTTATTATAAAAAAAAACATAATAACTAAATTGCTAAATAACGTTTTTTAAAATATGTAAAATTAATTCATTTTAATAACATTATGTGTTTGTTTTCAACACACAAAAGCAAACATTTGTTTCTCATTTGTTGATATATAAGTGTTTCTACAAATATAATAATAATAATAATATAATTTTATGATAACTTATAAATCAATAATATTTATAAACTAAAAGTTATATACAATAACTAAATATAAATACTGTATATATATTTAGTGTACTTACAAAACGTGTGCAATCAATAATTGAATTTATTTGTTGTGCTAATGAAAAAAAATATATTTTTCTTAATTATCTTCAATAATTAAATAAAATCACTTTTTTATACATTGTAATCTATTGAATGTTTATAATATATGTAAAATTAATGTACATATTTAATCATCATATTTAACATAAAAAATTATTATTATTATTAAGTTTGATGCGGTGCTAAACTTTATATCAGTTTCTTTTAGTTTTTCCCAAAATTCATAACAAAAAAAAGATAAATTAATAAAATAGTTGTTATAATTTACATAAAGTTAAAATAATATAGTTGTGTGTGTGTTTAATAAATGTGACATCAAAATAAAATATTATTATTATTTTATTTTATTAATATAAAATAAAATGTCTGAAATTATGGACGAGTTTAGTGAAACATTTAAAATATTTTGCCAAATAATTGGTTTTATTATTACAATATTTATAGTCATTATAACTGCCATCCGTTTTACACTAATTGTATGGCGACTGTATCTGAAACGAGGTTTCCAGTGGACTGGTAGCCCAAATACCTGGGCAGTGGTTACCGGCGCCACTGACGGCATCGGACTAGAGTTTGCCAAACAATTAGCCGAAAAAGGCTATAATCTTCTGCTTATTAGTCGCAGTGAACATAAATTGTTAAATGTTAAACATGACATCGAGTGCCGGCACCGGGAGTGCAGTGTACGGGTGCTGGCAATAGATTTTACGAACAGTAATGTATATGAGAAGATCGATAACGAACTAAGACAGTTGACTAATATACAGGTTCTCGTCAACAATGTTGGTATGTGTTATCCGAGTGAAACTCCCGAATACTTTCTCAACATACCGAAGCTCAATGAGTTCATACCGGCCATTCTCAACGTCAACGTACGCGCCTGTACTCAACTGATAGCACTGGTATTACCTCAGATGGTGGCCTCGGGCCGTGGAGTCATTATTAATTTGTCATCGGCTACGGCTCTGCATCCCGTTCCTCTGTTATCAGTCTATTCGGCTACCAAAGTCTACATCGACTATCTGTCCCGATCGCTACACCAGGAATACAAGTCCAAAGGCATAGTCATACAGTCACTGGTACCGGCCTACATATCCACCAATATGTCACACAATATGTCGTCCAATTGGTTTGTGCCAACTGCTCGCCAATACGTGACCAGTGCCTTGAAAACTGTAGGCAAAGAGCCGCGAACTTCGGGCTATTATACGCACCGTTTTTTCAACTTTTTCAACTACTGGGGCACTGTTTCGGCCGAATTGCTTGGCATTAACTTTTCGCTTAAGGTTAGCTACGCTCGGCTCCGGGGTATTAGGCATCGTATTATTCATAAGAAAATGGGTAACAACAACAACAACAACAACAATATTACTACTACCGGTGCCGATGACGATGACGAAGAAATGGCATTGAATACTGCAATCAATGCAAACAATAATAATAATGATTGATTGACTGATTAATGTCTTTAATTAAACTATTTGTGTGTTTACTTAATAATATAATTTTTTATTTCATTATTTTGGATTAAATTTTACTATCTGTATAATGTATAGTAACTATACTTAATTTTTATCCAATTTATGTTTAATTTAATTAATTTGTATTTTTTTCATAAATACCAGCATTTATTTATTAATTTAGTGTTTGATTTTATCAATTTAATTTATGTGTTTCAATATGTAAATTGAAATAGTTTTTTAAAATATTTAAAAAATATTTTTTAGTAATTAAAATCAATATAATTATATGTTTAATTTTTTACTGAAAAGTATTAATACCTCACAAAAATATTTAAAAACAATAAAAATGATATTTATTTATTTATTATTATTATAGATAATAAAAAATTAACAATTTTATAAACATTGAATATAATATTTACAAAATTAATTATATTTAAACATTATTTTTAATAAACTTATTTATAAATAAATATGCAATTTAATTATTTATATAATTTATTATTGATATTAATGTTTGTATATGTAAAATATGTAAGTTGAGTTTTACGGCAATTGTTTATTAGGCGCACCAATACATTCAACAACAAAAAAAGATTTTGTATTTTTGAAATCATTTTATTTGATTTAGTTATACATTTGTAGTTTATATGTTGCAGTCGTGAAGCACTGGTATATCCGAGCATAAAATGTATGGACAATAGATTGATCCATAAAATAGTCGGCAGTTATTTAAAAGGTAATTAAGTTATAGAAATATAGCATATTTTTTATAAATGGCATAAATATTGAATTTAAATCTATTCTATTAATTAAATTATTTCTAAATTTTAGTGAAATATTTCTAAATATAAATTATTTATACTTTACATATATATGTAATATAATTATAAATAAATAATAAATTATCTAAAATTTATATTTACTAAATCAAAAAGTATATCATAATAATGCATATTGATTACTTAATTAACCTAGCTATATCTTTATAAACTTAATAAATTAAAATATTTTACAATTAGCATATTTTGTCTTATTATTACTTATAAATTATATGAATTTTGTTTTATAACGTAAGTATAATTATAAATTATAATATACAATAGATTATAAAGTACTTTAATGTAATATAACTTAATAAATAGTTAATATGCTATTATGCGATTAACATTAAAATTATAATTAAAAACAATAATTGTAAACATAGTAATACATTTGTGAAACTAATTATAAAACAAAATATCTTAAGATTATAAATAAATTATTTTATATAAAAATAAATAAAATACAGTAATATGTAGTCAATAATATTTTAATTAAATATATTGAACAACAAAATTATAATTATTATTCAATGTTAGAACAGCTTTACTGTCAAATAAATTACACTCGTTTTATAGATAATTATCTTTTTTTTTGAAAAACAAATTAATTGAAAATATAAAATTATTGTCATTATTTTTATAAAATATTTTTCAATCCTCAAAATACAATAAAAATTGCCTATTATTATATTTAATAGAATATTTTGTTTTGCAAAATATACAAAATATAGAAATATTTTTGTTATAAGTATTAAACATAAAAATTGGATGTTATGAACAAAAAAAAATCAATAATTTTATGCTATTTTTATTTTTATATTAATTTACACAACAATGCATTATATATTATATAGACTATATATATTTATTTAAGTTATAAATATAAATTATATTTAATTCAATACTGTATTGACAATACAATTCAATAGGCTTTTATTATACTGTATGTACTATACTTATGTTGAATAGTTAATAAGGATTTCAAATACACCCAAAACGTGTACATAATATTCAATTATGATATTACAACAGTAAACATAACTGAATTTATACATGTTTTCTATTATTATTATTATTATTAAAAAAAACAAGAATCTTATGATTAAAAAATAATATTTATTAAAAACATCACAATTATTATATTATATGTAAATAACAATCTATTTATAGGCAACTAACACAAAATTACTGTATTAACTGTTATTTTGTGTTGTGCTGTATAAGACAATATAATACAATAGATATATATTATTGATAATCAGTATATAAATATAAAAGTATATAAATTGTTTGCTTTATTAAACAAACACTTATCAGTCAAACAGTATATAAGATTTATAACTACTGTATCTATCATTTCTAATAAATATGTTTATCATTATATCTACTACTAAACTATTATGTGTTTTGCTTGTTTAGCACATCATTAACCCCAATTAGTCCGGTTTTTAGTTTACTTTCTATGTTATGCTACAGTTATTGCATATTTTCAATAGTTAAAACAAATCATCAAGCTAAACTGATAAATATAATCTTATTTAATATTTCAATCATGTATAATACAATTTTATCTGGAAATTTTTATATAAATTATTTTTGCATTACATTTTTGAAAAAACTTTAAACTTATAAAATTAAATAAATATGAAAAACTATATGTACTATACAGTATATGTATGAAATAAATTTATTTAGTAAATAAATAATGTTATTTTTGTTGTTGTTTTTCGTATATAATGTTATGTTGTTTGTAAAGTAAATAATAATATATTTTTATTTTTTATATTACAATTATTATAATCTAGCTGTCTACTATTACAGGTTAATAATTTATATTTATTATTATTGTACTGTCACTGAAATATCAATATTGCTATATTTAGCCTCGCATTCAATTTTATTATATCACTATACAACATGATAATGTTAAACAATAATATTAATATATAATTAAAATAGGATTATTTTTGTGTCATTATTTTTATGGTAAGTATACCGTATGTATAGTACATAAATATTTAATAAAATATTTGAATTTTCTACTTTATTTATTAAAATGTTAAATGTCAAAAAATTTAAATATGAATTTTTATTAAAAATCAGTGCAATATATGTATTTTATAACAATTAATTAATTTTAATATATGTGATTATTATTATTATTATTATTATTAGTAGTAGTAGTAGTAGTAGTAGTAGTAGTAGTGGTGGTGGTAGTATACTAATCATAATTATAGTAATAGTAACATATTAAATGGTAAATAATTAAATAATTAATTTTTAAAAATAAGTTAATATAAATAAATTTTTATTTAAAAAAAATTATAAAAATGTTTCCAGTTCCTTTTTCAATGATAATCTTTTAATATTATGTGATTGTGTGGGTATTTCTCCATTGATCATCTCTACCGATTGGTAATCAATGGATAACCGTTTTCGCGGATCAATCCTTATATTGACAAACTCTCTCAATTGATTTTCCAATGACTGTTCCTCAGCAACAGCAGCACCGGTATGTTTATAGTTTGGATTTATTGATACATAGGCTTTAGGATATTCACAGCCATTGTCATCCTCGGCACAGATGACAATCGCTTCTCCGACTGTTAAATGAGTTAACAGTATTGACTCCAATTCCTCCGTTGAGATCATAAAATCTTTAATAATTATAATATTATTACTAATAATAATAAATTATACAATAGCTAAAAATTATTGGTTATGTTTTAGACAAATATTATGTATATGCACTTTATATTTATTTATTATTTTATTTTCTATAAATAGTGTATATATATATAATCTTATAATATACTTTCTTATAATAATAAATAAACAAAACTAAAAATTTCTATCAATTTAAAAATAATCGGTTTATATATATTATTAATGTTACGTTAAATATTAGATTTGATTACTATAATATTTTTTTTATTTATAAACATTTTGATTAAAATCAAAAATCAAAAACTGTTGTTTATTTTTATCAATGTTTTTATTGTACAGTACATACCATCTACTTTAACAAACTGATCCTTATGTCCGACAATATAGAAAAGTCCGTTTCTATCATAATAGCCATATTCACCGGTCCTAACAAAGCCATCTGACATAACCAACTGTTGGCTTTCCACTTCATTACGCCAATAGCCCGGTGCACACTAATGATCACATAACAAGACATAGATATAAATTATATCAATACATTACAACCGTATAATACAGTTATAGGCTGTTATAGCACTAATAAGTTACTCAAATAATTAACTGATTTAATTGAAAGAAAACTACATTTGTGTATTTAAGGTATATGTGTTATATTATATAACTTATATATATACCAAAATTATATTAATTAACATGATATACAGTATATACTGCATATATATAAACCTGATAACTGCGGACACAAAGCTCGCCAATGATGTCGTGCGGTTCCGATCGGCCATTACTGTCCACAACCATCAGCTCGACACCGGCTACTAGTCGGCCAATTGTCTTGTGATTACCATTAGTACGGTATTCGCTTAGATATTCAGTGGTCACCCAACCGACCTCTGGACTGTTTAATACTAGAATACAACATAAATATTAAAAAATTTAATTACCGGTAATTATATACCGTATATACAGTATATATACTGTATATTTATAAGTTTAGTATAATTAATAGTAATATTGCTGAACATACAAAAAAAAATTATGTTAATTATTTGATACCTTTTCTAAATTGTCTAAACATTTTCAGCGCTTTCTGATGTGTGTTGACACCGATGGCTGTACCGACAAACCATACGTCCATCAGACTGCGGACATTGCTTTTATTGGCTAAACATCTGTCCAATTGTCTGGTAGTCAACAGTGTACTGGTAATTGCATAACGGTTTATATAGTCTAGTAGTCTAGTACTATCTGGTGTATCATCATTTTTATCATATATAGCTATAGTAGAACCGGTAGCCAATGCATGCAATAGAAAATTAATACCAGTGCTCGAATAGAGACCAGTGACGGCGACCGTATCGGTAACGGCCAGTGCCGACGATTCCGGGTTTTCCAGTGACTCTATACCAGCTATTAGATTACGATTAGTACGCACAACATGCCTACTACTGCCATCCACTGAACTGATTGATAGTAGAGCACAGGTATCATTTCCTGATACGTCAATAGGTAACGGTAGGTACTGTCGCTCGTATAGCATAATAGCTTCAATGATATCGAAACTGGATGTCAAATCCGAAACAGATTTTTCATCAATTAGTAAAAGTTTCTGCAAATAATAAACTAATTAATAATAATAATATTTTGTTTGTTTTTATTATTTTGATTAAAAAATTATTTCAAATAATATACTGTACTTTAATTGACATCATCTCTGTTGTTAGTATAGCACTGATACCATAGTTGTGTGAATCGGTTACCAGAAATGTTGGTCTTATTTTGACCATTGATTCATCAATTTCTCCTATCATTTATAATAATAAACAAAACAAAAGAAAAATTAATTAAATATTATATTAAATAATAAAAAATAATTTAGTAAAATATTAATAAACCGTACGATATGTGGAACGGTATGGTAGAGACATGTAGATACCGCCGGCTATCCAGACGGCCAGCATAGCGACAATATGTATGCCACTGTCGGCGGCCAGAAAACAGACCACATCTTGCCGTTTGAGTTGACACTCGGTTACCAAATAATAGGCTAAATTTTGTGACCACTCGTATACCTGTTCGCCCGTCCATTTGCGGCCCGACTCACAGTCTAACTTTAAAAAGTTTAATATAAATAATTTATAAAAACAAACAATTAAATCAAAATAACTATCATATTTATTGTATATAAACTGCTGAAAATGTGATATATGTTTATATTAATACTACAGTATATAAATAGAGTGATTAATTATTTTATTAATTAAATGTAAACTATAATTGTATGCTTTATTCAATCAATATTAATAGATATTAAAATTAATTTTATTTTTTTATATAATTAAGTTTAAATGATTTGTTAATACTTATCAATGTTAATAATTTTAATTTCACTTTTTTTTTATTTAAGTTAGTTGAAATTATATGTACAATAAAATCAAAATATTTTTATTTAATGTATTTAATTTATTTAAAAAATAATAATATTGCTTATAGCAAATTGACCTTTAATTGATTAAAATCTTATCTGTATTTAAAGTTAATAATAATTATAATGGTCTTATGATATGTTACTTCATTTTTATTATTATTAATATTATAAAACACATAAACAAAAACTAGTAATTTAATGAAAAAATTAATGAGGTCTCTGTTAATTAAAATATTTCAGAAAAAAATATTTAAAATATTTTATTTACCAAAATAAAATAAAAAATTGTATCAACTAATATTATTAATTTTTAAGCAATTAAATCTATTTTGTTATTATTATTATTAGTAGTAATAGTACAGTAGTATTATATTATAATATAAATTTTTATAAAAATAATACTTTAAAAGTTTCATTACTTACGATAACTGTTTTATCAAAATTTTGTTTAAGTTTATCCAATATTAATGAACTAATCGATTGATAATCATTTTTATTTGAAATTAATTTTGATCTTATTATATAAGAAGACATTATTCATAATAAATATATTACTAATTATTAGTTTACTATTATTTTTGAAATAGTGTTATGCATTTGAAAAACAAAAATATTATATTATATTTGGTAACAAAATTATGATATCACTTAACACTAGCATACTATACTATATTGTGATTAATATTTAATATCACTATAAAATTATATTGTTTATCTTTATTACCAATGTATGGTATAATATTTAATATATCATATAAAAATAAAATGTAATATAATACTTATCATTCAATTTTTATGTAAACATACTGTGTATACATAAATATAAAAACCCCTTAAATAAAATGATTGACACATGAAATCAAAATTAAATCTGAAAACCATATAATTATATTTAGAAAACCAAAACTATTTTATTTGTTTATAATAATAAATATTTTATAACAGTATCCAGGGTACTTGATATTACATGTGATATAAATACAATTTATTCAATGAAAAAATGGTGATAATTATTATTACTTTTAACTATACAGTACAGTATATTAGTAGTAAATACTTTATTTTATAATTTTAATTAAATGTATTTTTATTTAAATTGAGCTTTATAATCATAAGTGTTTATAATATAGATTTTCAAAAGTATAATTAGTATTAATTATTATAATTATTTTATAAATAGTATAATCTTTATATTGTAATTAAAATTGTTTTAGGATAACAATAGGAGTAAATATTAAAAATTTATATTTTTAATTAATAGAATTTAATTAATTTTTTTTGTAAAATACATTTATAGAAATAAATTTTATTAAACATAGTTGTTTTTAAATAAAAAAATATAACATTAATTCATTCAAAACATTTCATATATAATATGAACCATAAAATATTTTACTAAAATATTTATTTAAAAAATATATAATTTATTATACGGTATGATATCGTATAGAAATTACTATTCTTTTTCCCCTTTTTTCTAATGAATGATTAGTAAAATAAAAAATTAACAAATAAAAAATTTTATTAAATACTATAAAATAAATTTATGATCCAAAAAATTAAATTAGGTTAACCTATGGTATGGTATGACTTGAATTGGGAGACACTGGCATTACCTGAAAAGCACCGGTTTTCATGCAAACACCTGATGATATGTGTGAGTGAGTGAGTGAGTGAGTGAGAGTAAGTGAGAGTAAGTGAGAGTAAGTGTGTGTGTGTGTGTGTGTGTGTGAGAGAGAGAGAGAGAGAGATAGAGAGAGAAAGCTATATAAAAGTATGACTAATGACTTTGTCGACTATTACACGATGTCATCGATTTTTTGCGCCCAAACAGTATCGCAATTTCTTCCCCAAAAATCTCGTTGTTGTGACCGATATATACAATATTTAAGTTATATATATATATTACTGTTTATATATATATATATATATACAGTATATGTATGTACTGTATATACTGTTATCAATAAATATAAAGTAAAATACTTTGCGGCTATTATTTAGTTAGTGTTGACATTATAAGCATTTTCCTCAAAAAATCATTTTCACATTAAATTGATTTTTCCCAAACAAAAAACATTATTGTCTTTTTAAAACAGTTTATTATATACAGTATTTTTTTCAATCGTTGATATTTTTGTTTTTATAATTAGTATTGTTTAGCAATTTTTATCATTATTATTATTAAATTTTATTAGTGTACAATATATATATATATTTAATGTAGTTTATTTTTTTCTAAACTAGTGCACAATGTATTAATTATAAAATTGTTATGTTTGATGTCTATATTTATTTACACCACCAACAACAACAAAACTTATTAGTAATAATGATAATTGTTTTTAAAATAAAAAAAAGTTAAAAAAATATTTTGTCTTGTAAATTCATTAAAAAAATATCATATATATATATTAATATATATTTTGTGATTTATTATATTTGATATTTGTTACTAAATTATTATTAATAATAATAATCAATAAACAGTTATTGAGGCAATAATGATGAGAGTGTTATTTATTTGTTTATTATCATTACTTTTATTTTTTGGTAAATTATATTTTTTTTTTGTTGCAATAAATAGATTGCATTGAAATACATTAAAATACATTTTCTTTAAAAAAAATATTTAATATAATATTAATGTAATTTTTTGTTTGTTTATTTAGTGCCAGAAATTGACGGCAAAAAGTGTGTCGACAGAGACGCCACTAAAGCCGATATCTGTATGGCACAGATGCTGATGATTGGCGACCGGAGTCAACGATTTCGCGAAACTATAGATGAAATGAACGGATATTGCAAGTTTGCATTCATTATATTATTAATTTATATTTATTATGATTATATATATAGAGTTAAATTAATTATATATAATTTTTTTTACTATTTTTATATATAATTTTATTTAATAATTTTATAGTATATATAAATTTATACAGTTTATGCCACTTAAAAGTGTTTAAATTTGAGTAATATGTAATACTTTAGCCAGGGTACTTTATATAACTTACCTAATATTAGTTAACTGTATATCAAGTTACCTTGCTTAGCGTAAAGTTAACTGTACACTATATTACTCAAATTTAAACTTTTAATTGGCATTATCTGTACATATATATATATATTATTTCTGATTTAATTTTTTCAAGTTTATTGATTATAGAAAATTATGAAAATTATTTTTTTTTGTTTTTTTTGATACATATAATTAACTGTTGTTCAGAAATATTACTGAGCTAAACGATTGTGTGAAACGCTATTCACGGCAATGTTTATCACGTATGGCCCGTACGATAACCAATATGTTGGTATCAGGTGTTACCAAAGCTAACAAACCCATGTGCAGTACCGATGCAACCAAACGGACCTTTTTGAAGCACTCAAAGTGTGGTAATATCAACATTGAAGACAAACACAAGTGTATGGATGTGTTTGTCGGTGATCTTAGACGTACGGAAACAGAGGACAAGGATAAAAAGATACCGTATTTTTGTTGGTAATTATTAATAATAACTGATTTATAATATAAATTGATTTGTAATATAATTTTTGTTATTGTTGTGTATAACCCCCCCCCCCGACTGTCCCTCAAATAACTTTGATAATCTCAATGATAAGCAATTTTTGGCACTTCAAAGATTGTATAAGAAAATCGTTTACATCAGTGGACACCAATCGTTGTCCGAAAGAGTCGATTGACGCCATATTGAATCTAATCAATGGCTATTCAAACGATGCACTGGACTTACTGTGCGGTGAATATGACGACGGAAGTGCCAAATGTCGACAATTGAGAAACAGTAGGACAACGGCGGCGACGACGACGACGACATCGACATCAAAGAGTACATCACGTAAAGGAAAGTCCAGTTCCTCGCGATCGATGCTTCCGTCGTTTATCAATATATTTACCAATTTATAAGACAATTATTATTATTATTAAGTATTAGTACATTATTTTTCCTGTAGTAATCATTTTATTATTATTTTGTTTTAATTTGTTTGTTTCCTTATTAATTAACAATTAGTTAGCAATTTTGTAAAATATAAATATAATTCAAGATTTGGTTTATTTTAGATTTTTTGTTTTACAAAAATTATTACTTATGCTTATTAAATCGTTTATTAATAAACTCATTATCATTATCATATGTTTATTTTATAAAAATAAAAGTTTAAAATTTTTATTATTTAATAAATTTTTTTGTTATATTAATTACTAATATATAGAATTGTATATTTTATATAAATTAATGTTTGATTACAATATATATATAAGTTTTGAATATTCAAAAAAATGCAAGAATTTTGTTATTTGGTTATATTTAGCCGAAATTTTTTTAATTATAAATGTGTGCTAAAACTATATTTTTTATTAAACTTTACAATATTTATTATAATAAATATTTTAACAATTAATATACTAGTATATAATATACAGTATTAAATATATCATATATATATTTATATAAATATAGTTTAATAGTAATGGTTATTTTTTTATTAAACTCATTTTTATAAAAATTATAAATTAAATCAGTATACAATTATATTTAAGTATTTATATTAAATTTTATCAGATATTTTTTTTAATTATGTATTATTAAGTATTTCCATAATTTTATGCTGAATAACATCATTTAATTTATATTTAGTGAGAGTATTGTCTGCATTGTCCACTATCGGTACTTCGGTAAACAATTTCTAAACAACAAAAAACAAATAAATAAATTAAAAACAAATTAAAATATTTTAGAAAATAAAAGTTAATACAATATAATATAATTCAGGCAATAATATCTAGAATTTTAGTATTATTATTATTATTATTACTATTAATACATAAATATCAACTAACACTTGAATTTGGCAACAAATACATGTCACGGATAAAACTTTTGTGTCCATCATTTGTAGACAAATTAGTTTCACTGTCGCCGGTGTTTGAACTGAGAAACACTATTTTACCAATAGTTTTAGCCCACATTTTGTCTACTCGTTCATCTAAATTAGTGCCAAACTTATTACGCTTGTCCTTCAAGTAGGTCAACAACATGGACAGTCGTTTGGCAAAAATAGTTAATATTTGGTCGGAATCGGTAGTGACCAATTGTCGTCCGGCCAACTCTTTTAGTTCGTCGATCAATCGTTTGATTTGTTTACTCAGATCATCGCCAATATCTTTCAAATCAATTTGCAGTTTATTATAGTAACACTCGGGTATGTCATTAAAATAGTAGTCAATAATTATATTTAAAATATCATTATTGTTGTTGTTGTTAAGCACCTGTTCGTCAACTTTTAAACCGTTTTCGTTAAACATATCGACAATCAAAGCTCTATCGGCTTTTCCTTTACGAACCAACTGAGCTGCGATGTATGCGCCGTCCAAATAGCCCACAACATCATAGTTTCCGTTAGGCTCTAAATTTTGCATCAAATTTATGTAATATTCAAAAACCACTTTCATTGCAGACGAAGGTTGATACATATGTCGGGTCCAATTGAGACCAATAACTGGTCGGTTAACTTTATGAGACCATTGTTCAAATGCGGCAAAATTACATTCTGGTGGCGGCATTAAATAAACTGGCTTTCCTTGAGTGCTATTGTTAAGCCTAACCCATGCATCGGTAGGTAATTGGAATCGATAGCATAGTAGGTGTGATTTACATGATCTCAACTGATCCATATACTGACTGATGATATTATTATTGTCGGTATCGTAATCTTTCAACATTTTAACAGTGATTCGTTTTATTTGTTGGACATTCAGTTGACTTCCGTATCGGGTTTGGAGTTCCTGTTGCAGTTCAATGACAAACATAGATTCCATACCAATCTCTCCCAAAGACATGTTGTCGGGTGTGGTGTCAGGATCTATGCCCAGTGCGCGCCATAGTTTGCCGATAACACGATCTTCTTTTGTGTTCAAATTTTTGTTACATGTATTTATTACCTGTAGTTTGCAATAAATATAATAAATAAATAAATAAAGTATTAATAAAATTTATTGATACAAAACATACATATGATGTAACAATTGGTTGTCTGGTTTGAAGCAATTTATCCAATACGTGACAACACGAGTTGATTCGTTGCATTTGCATATTTGCCAAATGTTTGACATAACTTTCCATATTGACGACAGCGCCAACATCGCCAATAGGTCCGTACTGTATGGCCAGTCCATGTAGACCATCGCGGTTTCGTTGTTCGCAAATACGTTCGCACAAAGCATTTCCCATACCGTAGTTGGTTTGGCCGGCATTACCCTTACCACAAGCGACAGATGAAAATACAACAAAATAATCCAATTTATATGACAACGCACGGGTCAGTTGATCCAAATGCTCAAACAATAAATATTTGGTGTCAATAGCCAACTGATATTTTTCCAGTGATTTTGAGTTTTGCAACAGACAATCATTGAGCTCAAGAGCCAAATGAAAGACACCACCGATGGGACCCAACTGTTCCGCTTCAAAGAGTAGTTGTCGACTGCCATCAATGGTCTTACCATTTGCTGTCGACACAACTATATTAACCTCGAGAGCTCGTATGTGTTGTCCAAACAATAATAAACGATTGATAACATATTTCTGATAATTTGTTTTAACTCCGGAACGGGAGGTCAATACAAACTTTTTAGCGCCCTTTTTAATCATCCAATGTATAAGCTCTAAGCCAAAGCCACCCAAACCACCAGTTATTATATAACACTTGTCGGCATTGAAATAGGTTTTCCTGATGACCAACATATCGGGTGAGGGTTTTACTATAGTTATCGGTTCTCTATAATCTTCTTCCTTACGAAACTTAATTACAATTTTGCCGATATGTTTGCCAGTTGTCATATATCGAAATGCCTGTACGGCTTCAGTATGTGTAAACACTGTTTTTGTTATAGGTTTGACACAACCATCGAAACCAGAGTTTTGATGCATCCATTGGAAAAACTTGGGCATTAGATCCACTTTCTTATCCATTGCCACACCAATAAAACTGATGTCACGTAAAAAGTCAAACATACCTAAGCGTTTGTTTTGAATCATATCTACTTTTCCTAACTCCAAAAATCGGCCCCCATTTGCCATACACTGATAACTGGCATCCAGTTTATCGCCGGCCAATGAGTTAATACAAATGTCTACTCCCTTTCCTTCAGTCAACTCAAGTATTTTCAGTTTAAACAGTGTGTCCCGCGAACTGAATATCTTATTATCAGATAATCCGTATTCTTTAATAAGAAACTGTCGTTTTTCTTTAGTTCCTACAGTTGTATATATATCACAATTATAGTGTCTACATATATTAATAGCCGACTGTCCAATTCCACCGGTTCCCGAATGAATCAATACTTTTTCACCTAAAAATAAAGTTTTATATAATCACTATTTAATATGTGATATCAATATACAATAATTGATATTTTACAACAATTAGTTTACCTTTTTGTAGATTACCCTTAAGTATAAGACCATAATATAGTGTTGAATAATTGGCCACAACAGTGGCCGCCTCTTCCATTGACCAGTGCTCGGGTATTGGGGTAATATTGTTTGAAAAAGTATTAACAACCGATGCAATACATCCCATACCGACTCCCATAACACGTTCCCCAGTGTCCACTCGTCTGCCAGCAAATTCACAGCCGAGATCACTGTTCATATTGCTGTTCAGGATATCTATAGGAGCTGTTATACTACCTAATGATAATTACAGATAGTTTTAGTCAAACAATATTAGTTTTTTAAATATTTATTACAAACCGGAAGCTAACATGACATCCCTAAAGACAAGGCCCGAACAATAAACATTGACCGAAACATTTGTGTATTTATTGTTATTAAAATCGTAACGTTCCTTTGGATAACTAATATGACTGCTGTCATACCAGGTCAGCCCCGATATTTCAGCGACACTGTGTTGACCATAATCGAGAAAATAGTTATTACTCATAACTGTGTCAAAGTATTTCGGTAGTCTAAAGTGTCTATATGTACCAACTTTCCCGTCGCGTATAATATTTATAGCCATATTGTTGGCTAATATTGTAGCGTACGGTTCAACAGTAAAATCAATTGTATTATTAGCGTCGAGGTTGTTGTTGTTGTCATAATCAATAATACACTTAAAGTAGTGTCCATTGGGCTCAAGTCGCAGACAATTTATAAAACCCAATAAACCGTTTATATTTGTGTCCTTATTGGTGGATATTAGCCAAATGGTGTCCAATTTGCCATCAGATATATTGTTTAACTTGTTTTTTAATGTATCAAACCATAGATTATACTGTTGTTGTCCAGCAATCCATACTATATTATCGTTGTTGGGAACGGTAGGTTTATCAGTAGATTTTCGGAAAAGTATAGCCTGAGTGCCAATAGTGTCAAACTTGGAGCAAATAAACCGAAATCCAAGTTTAACTGCAATTTTATGGAACGTATCGATTCTGTCCGTCAAATATTTGTCTGTTAAGCACTTGTTTTTCGGATTAATCAATGATTTAATGGCCACTTCGGGTTCGGTTAACTTATAACGAAATATGGCCAATAAAAAACCGTTTGGGACTATCGAGTCGTACATATCTTGTATAAATTTTTCGACACCGCCAACAACACTACTACTGTCATCCAAGATCTGGTGGCTGTCTCTCAGTATAATTAAATGATTTGAAGACAAAACTATACTTTCATTGACATCCCATTCCTGAATGTTGTGTTTGTAACCAATATCTAGTGGTGAAACAGTAGTTTGTTGTCCTGATTTGTTGACAATAATCCGATAGTTAACATCAGTGGGTATCAGTTTAAAGTTAACCATTAATGGCATTATTTTGTCCATCAAATAACTACTACCGGAGTTGTTTAAGTTGATTTCAGTGACGTTCAATTCATGGACAGGTATCACATTTTCGCTAATCATGTCAATCATTGTCCTCAATAGGCGTTCATTATTGTCAATATTGTTAATAATATCGCAATTGATATCAACCTCCTGATCGGCATATATGTCGGCAACAATTGTCATCAATTTATTATTGTTTTTAATTGTATCAATATTTCTATCGTTGTCATTATTATTATAATCTTTAACAATAGTCAGCAATTGATCCAAAATGTGTAAAATTGTATAACAATTTTTACTATTATTAGCTGATTTATACTCATTTATTACATTGTCTTCAAAAAGTTGATAATTGAAATTGCATTTCATATCATTAAATACTGTTTGCTTTACTTTAGCTGCCAATGATTTACAAACCTATATATTTAAATAAATATATTAGACATTTAGTATTAAATTTAATTTATGTAAAAACAAAACTTTTGTTTTACATAATTAATATTATAAATACAATAATTATGTATTACAATGTATAAATACATAATAATGATAGTAATAATAAAATAAAAGTTTATAATTTTAATTAGTGATTACTCGCCTCAATATATTTATGAATTTCTTTACGATAGTCGACATCAATGGCCATAACATCAGTGTTGGGCATCCATTCATACGAATCCAATACCAATCTCGTTGATTGAGTGTCCACTTTTCGCGATACAGCCGAAGTACGAATCTCGTAGACTTCAATGCCATGGGTGACCAGCACCGGTATGTCACGATTATAATAAATGGGAACTTCAGCCTGATATTTATGAAATCGTTCATCCAGTCTTTCGGTAGTAGTTATATCAGTGTCAACTAGATTTTGATTAAATTTATTTTGTTTTTCATCACCGATAGGATTAATTAGTTTATTTGGTGGTGAAACCGATCGACGATATCGTTTCAATTGATCAAAAAATACTGTCGGATCAATTTTGACTGATCTAACCATAACAGGTACCATCAATTGACGTATTGGTACCGATAGAAGCATTGACTGTATCATCGAATCTAAGAATGTGACAAAATTTCCGTCCCATTCGTTAATAGACAGAAATTGTCGAAAATTTTTCGTACGAATTGATTTCAATCGTCGAAAATATGATCCAAAGTCGTAACCATTGACACGCAGTTCCTTACGTATGTCATCCCTTTCCAGTAGATATTCATCGGTTGTAATCCCTTTAAGATTATTTTTTTCAGCAATCATATGCTGACACATAAGGAACTCCGTATTATTAGGTGGTGACGACATTTTACCTACAGCTGCAATATTGTTGTCTTCCAATATAACAAAATCACCTTGATAACAATTTTTTAGTAATCAAATTTAGTTGAAAAATAAATTAATATATATATATATATATATACCTGTGTCAGCAAAATATCTAACTTTCAGATGTGATGGTCTATTAGCCGATAGAAAAGTTGCCCGATGAAACTGGACGTCTTCAAACACAACGGGAACGGTAATCCATAATTTGCCGACACTGGCAGCCAAATGACGCCACGCGAGCATTAAATAATTGGTGGCCGGAAATATAATATTACCGTCGATACAGTGATCGGCTAGAAATTCCCAGTCTTTGCTATTGATATCAACCGTCACATTCATATCGGAAGCCGTCAAACGACAGTTTGTCAGTGGATATAGACGTCGCTTGAATTGTTCGCTATGATCCCAACGGTGTAGCGATGCTATTGATGGCGTTTGTCGGGCTACTGGCCACTCGACTTTCGGATAGAGTATTTCAATGGACGGATTGAATCCCAGTTCATATAATTTGCTGACACCTGTCAGAAACCGGTCTAAGTTGTTGTCCTCCCTGTCATTCTTAAGCAACGATATATATGTTGAATTAACCAATGTTTCGGCAATAATTTTGTTGAATATAGGATGCGGACTGAGCTCCAGTACAACAGCATCGGTAGGTATTTGTTTTAATCGTTCGTAAAACTCGACCGGATTTAACAGATTGTATACAAAATACTCGGCCGATGCATACTTGAGCACATCATCCCGAGGTTCGGTCAACAACGATGTGGACAACCATTTATTTGATCTAATTTTCGGCTCAGGTAGATATTTTTTTATTGCATCAATCATAGGCTGTGCCGATGATTGCAAATATTTGCTGTGATAGGGAATGTCATTGCTATTCAATTGTCTTACAGATATGCTTCTATCTACCAGTCTATTAATGGTTTCATGCATTTCTTTGACGGGGCCTATAAATTAATTTAATTTTCAACATATATTGTATGTACTCTACAAATATACTAAACCTGATAATATGATAACATCTTTAGCATTATTGCAAACCACATACACGCCATCCGAACAAAGCTTCTGAGCTTCTGATTTGGAAACAGCAGCGAAAACCATTAGTCCTTTAGGTATGAGTCTATCACTTGCAGTTATGACTCCCCTATAGTAGGCCACAGCCATAGCCTCTCGAGTTGTTAGGCAACCGTCTGCGTAGGCACAGGCAATCTCGCCGAAAGAGTGGCCAATTATGCCGTCTGGTATAATGTCTAATGATTTAATTAATTCAAACAATGCAATCTCTATGGATGTCTTCGAGCAAAACTTATTGGTCATTGTCGACACTGTCTGCGGATCGTCCGATAGGATCAGCCATTTCAGGTCAACATTAAAGTCTTTTGATAGTATTTGATGGCATTCATCCACTTTGTCGGCAAACACTTGTATAGACATCAATGCCTTTGCCATTGTTGGCCATTCGCCACCCAAACCGGGAAACACAATCCACAAAGATTTGCGTGTTTTGTTGACATATCTACTGATGCTCTTCTTATAACTGTATTTAATGTCATTACAGTTTTCTCTCAATTTTGAGATAATAAGTGATCCTTAATAAAATAATAGAAAATAATATTTATTTATATATTTTGAAAAATTATTTATTTAAATATCTCAGCAATTAAGACATTATATTACCTCTATAGGGAAAGCCGGATGAGTTTATATTAGGCGTGTATTTCATAATTTCACCCAAAAGTGCCAAAAAATCTTTAGTTATTTTTCCAGGATTTTGTTCAATAAAATCCATAATATATGTGACCGAGTCCTCAGTTCGGCCGCAAATATTGACTATTCTCGGTATAGTATCTGCTATACACAGACAATCATCATCAGTAGTGGATCTAATTTTATAGTTGGGTTCAACCAATAAGTGTGCATTAACTCCACCCAAACCAAAGTTGTTAATAGCGGCCATTCCTTCAACAAAATAAAAAAAAACTTATTTAATATATAATGATTATCTATTTTTAAAAAACTATACCCGGTTTGTAAGGCATATTGCTAGTCACTGGACTAATTGGTGGACAGTATAGTCTAAGTTCATGTCTTAATGTGTTTAGATTAATATTACGGGGAATACATTCATTTTCAAAAGCTAACAACACTTTGATAAGTGAGGCCAAACCGGAACCTCCCTCAGCGTGACCCATATTGCTTTTCAAACTGCCCACTAATAACGGCTGACGACGGTCTGGCTTTTCATAGTAAGCCCTAAAAATTGAACGAATTTCTTCGGGATCGCCAGCCTATAGGACAGTCACATACTTCACATATAAAACACTTTATTTTGCTTATCACTTACCTTAGTTCCAGTCAAGTGTCCCTCAAAATATGTCAGTTTCAATGGATCTATATTAGCCTCAGTGTAGGCCATTACCATTAGTTTGCATTGTTCTTCACTCGACGGATGAAACATACCGATAGTCTTGCGGCCGTCGCAATTGACTCTCGAAGTCAATACTCTAGCGTACACTCGTCGGGCACCGGGTCTAAGTTGAAGCAGAAGCGACACAACAGTATCTGCTTTGACCATACCGTCGACGCATTCATCCATTACGGATGAGCGTCCAGTTGGCGAACAAACACCAGATTCCTGTGCCATTTGGAGTACGTACGGATCAAATGTCATATGAGTACCGCCAACGATAGCATAGTCAACATTACCTGAAGGATTGTATAGATAAAACTATTATATATTTTCTGTTATATTAATAACAATAACATCATTGAAAAAATACCTAATCTGAGATCATTGATTGCTAAGTTAAATGCCGTTAAACTGGACGAACAGGCCGTGTCCACTATCATTGATGGACCTTTAAAATCAAACACAAAAGACACCCGATTGGCATACAATGCCTTCATATTGCCAATAGTCTGTAAAAACACTGAATCTTTTTGTGTAATGATATCCGGTTGTAGTTCCTCTGCATATCCATCACTGGCCGCATAGCTGGCAACTCCTATGTAAACACCGGTTCGCGTACCGCGAAGTGAATCGGGATTTATGCCTATTTAATGGATAAATTGTCAATAATTTTTATAATGTTTAATAAAAGTTGTTAATTTTGTTCATAAATATTATACAATTACTGTATTACAGTATCGATATATGATAATATTTATAATAAAAATCTACTGGCTTAGATTAGTCATTGATCAATACGTTAAAATACATTTATTATTACTTTTAAAAATTACATTTAAGACTAATACTGTCAACTATTGTACTTAATTAATGTTAGATTTTTTAAAGTACATGTAAAATACTAAACAATAATTATTGAACAAACATTCAAATTAAGTCAACTTTATAATGAATTGATTTAGTAATAAAATCAATAAATAATAGTTGATAATGATAATATTTTTAATCATTATATTCATATTTATTATGTACTAAATTATTTATTGTATATATATATATATATATTATATAAACAATAATATAAAATATACTATTTAACCAAAAATTTAAACAATTAGATACAATTACGATAATAGCCCCAAAAAAAACAATACCTGCATCGATGATGGCTTCGTAGGTTACCTCTAATAGTAGACGAGATTGTGGATCAATTTCGTGACACATCTTTTCCATTAAACCGAAAAAAGTTATGTCAAACCTGTCGTAAGTTTTCAGTTTACCCATTCGTGAGTTCATATCATACAGTCCTACAAAAAAAACCAAGAAATTAGTTTAAATTTTTCTCTTTTATTGGACAGTTATTTTCAAAAACATGTCTAATATACTAAATATATATACCTTTAGGCCAACGCGGGTTGTCATCACTGATCATATCAGTGCCATTGTATAGATTTTCGGCAAACTCGTCAATAGTGTCGGACAGTGGAAACCGTCCACTCATACCACTGATCACTATCTGGTCGTTCAATATTTTAGACATATTATTAATTTCTTTAATACACATATGTTTTCAATTTTTTAAAAACAAAAACAGTTGAGAATGCTAGAAAGCATTTCCACACGAATTCCTAATCATAATTAAAAATTAAATTCAGTATGATAAAATAAAATCAACTATAGTTATGTAGAGTATCAAACGATTTTTTAAATTAATTTTTGGACACCATTTTCTTCAATTTCCTAAAAAATAAACTTAAATAAGAAAAAAAACAAAAAAAAATTCAAAAAAAAATTGTAGCGGATAGTGGATTCGAACCTATGTCCTCGTGGGACAGACAGACAGACCGACAGACAGACAGACCGACTTATAGAATGCATATACGTATTCCTTTCAGGAATTCGTGATTATATACTGGTTACTGTCATTTAACAAAAACATAATTTTAATTAAATACATAAATAATTTACATATAAATCTGAAAGTATTGAATATTATTTTGTGACTAAAAAAAATTGTTATTTTTCTTTACAATACATAGCTATATATCGATATATTTTTTTATACTCGGTAAAATTATAAACTACTTTATTTATATAGTATCTAAATTTTTGCTTATAATTAGCCAGTTATAAAATATATATTTTTAATTATTTGATTTTAATAGTTTTGTTTACCAATTTAATTTATCATATTATCATTATTTTAAATTATATATTATATATTATATATATATTTTATAAAATTTTAATATGTATAAAATATTGATTTTCTATGCTTTTTAAAATAGTTTATTAATCAATTAGCTTTAAAAATGAAACATTTTTTATTATAATAGAAAAATATAATTTTATTTGTAATAAAATTTAATTGTTATTAGTTTTTTTTTGGTTAACGTAAAGCAATGTTGATCTAATAATCATTTTAATAAATATTAATCTACATTTGACTATAAAATAATTGTTATTGCTTTTTTTATAGTGTAATAAAATTCATAACTTATATTAATGGAGATACAATTATTATATTTTTTGTTTAATGTTTTTTAATTTGTTGATATATGTATAAAGTTTTTTTTATTGATAAATAACAAATTAATGGTAATTAAGTATATATTTTTAAAAATATATAAAGTATATTAATGTTAACAATAATTATAAAATTGTATAATTAGGTGCAACAAAAAATTGTCTAGTCACATAATAGTTTATTATTAGTATTAATATTATCATTTAAATGGGCCCCGTAAACAATATATTAATAATTTTTACAGTATGATTCTAGAAAATATATTAGCAATTTTGCACAATGTCAATTATTAATTTATTTTTATAAAAAAAATTAATTGTCAAGGTTAGATTTTATTGTAAACTATGCATTTATCAACAATTGTCAAAAATATATATACTATAGTTTTAAAAGTGTTTAACATTTTAATTATGTTATTTTTTGTATATAAAATATTTTATTAGTATATATTGTACAATTGTACAATATTATACAATTTTTGTTTAGACTTAATTAAATATTAATTTATAATTATAAGAAATTACAATAATATAATCAATTAAAATTATTTTTTATTGAAATTTTTATAATTGCAATTAACTATTTGTTTAAATTTAAATAATTATTCAAATTATATTCATTTAAAACTAACTATGATAATTAAATAAAAAAATATTATTTATAACTTCTGTAAAACATTTATAAAAATAATAAAATTAAATTATCATAATAAACCTGATAAAATTTCTAATATATATATTATATTATTATTATATATTATATAAAATTATATATATATATATAAATAAATTTTATCAAATACAGCGATTAAAAATTAATTATTTAAAATAAACTAAAAGTAGCATGCACAATATTAATTGTAATACTTTAGTTCAATAGCTGCTAATACAGTATTTTTGCTATTAATTTTAATACAGTATAATAACATTATAAATATTTATTGACAGTTACTATGACAACAACAACAACAACAAAACATATGAAATCATATGATTTTTATTTACGTTTTATTTATTTATTGTTTTGTTTTGTGTTTTTGTATTTAAGTTTAACTTTTCATTAAATGACTGATCCGTCCAAACATAAGACATGACCACTACTACTACAACTACTACTACACCTCCCGGTGTTAACAACAAGCCTTTCCTTGAGTTGGATGATCTAAATGACTGTCTGCACGAGTTTTGGCTAAAAAATGACTTGTTGTTGACCCGATGTCGACAACTGTTGGCCCGTGCGATCAGCCACAAGTCCAACACCAATATTGCCAAAAGTTTCGGCACCGGTATCGGCGGTGCAGGTGCTCTGGCAATGGCCGCTGGTGTAGGCCTGGCTCCGTTTACGGCCGGTGTGTCCACTATTGTTACGCTTGGCGGCGCCGTCAGTACGGCTGTTGGCGCGATGACCGTCTACGGTACCGATGCCAATGACTACTGGTTTAATCGTGAAGTGCACGCCGAGCTCAGAGAGTTGGCCACCGATCGCAATGTGTCGGCTGATCGACTGTTCGACGAGTTGTCCCACTATGATGTCGATCTCAATCGCTACGACTCATTGGAGGACAAAAGTCGACCCGTCGGTGACGATGACGATAGTCTTGTAAAGTTTTTGCAGTACGTGGCCAACGGATCGTTGACCGCCTGCAAGGTTGGCGACAATACTGTCAAATTGGTCGACGCTATTAAAGAGTATCGCACTTTGAAGACAACAAAAGAGTTAGCCCAAAGTGTTGATGTTGTCCATAAAGCTGGTTACAGTGTCGGCCAATTGTTGACCATTAAAGCGCACGGTATATATATATACAAGTGTTGAGACTACTTATCTATTTCGTCTATACTATGATATATATATATATATTTCTCAATAGGTTTAAGCGCTATAGCGGCCGCCACCCGTACGGCTGCGCCGACTATCGGAATGTTAGCCTTGAAGTCGGCATCGGCAGCTTCGGGACTGTTGTTCACATTCATAGATGTGGTAACACTGATGAAAGACTGGGATAAACAGCCGCCGACTGTCGACGAAATTAACAGTTTGGTCGACGACTTGAACCGAGACTCGGCCCTCATTATTACGATCAGTGCAATGATGGCCAGTGCTCTGGACAATAGTCCGTGCATTCAATTACCGATTTCTATAAAACCTGTTATTATCGACAATAGTGATAATAATGTCGTCAGTGATGACGACTCCTGGGTTGTCATACAAGATAATGATCTTATATAATGATATATTATATCTATAATTTTATTATCAGTAATAAAATTAAATAAAACATTCATCATATAAATAAAAAACAATTATATTCACTAAACTAAATAACAAAAATTATTGAATTTTGTTATTTATTGGTTTATGTCAATAAATTATCAAAACAATTTTCTATAATCCAAAATAAAGTTGTATCAATTAATTTAGTCAAACAAACAAATAAAAAACAAACTTCTATAATATTTTAATAGTTGTCATAAAACTAGAAAACATATTTTTAAATATTAAAATATATAAAAAAATGTATTGTTATTTTAAATAATTTTTATTTAAAAAATACAATATGTATAATTGCTTTATAATTATCACTAATTTATTAATTATATATTTGTCTTTTTAAAATTATTAAAATATAATTAATGTTTGTTATTTATGTTTTATAAAAAATTTTATAATAAACTATATTACGGATTATAGTAAATTGTTTATGATAATATTTATATGGACATAATACAAAATTAAATTATATAAATATACAACAATATTTTTACAATTAACTCTAGATTAGAGTACTTAACTTAATATATATACTGTATATATATATAAGTAATTTATAGATATTTATTTAATTTATATTATGGTTTAAGAGTCATAAATTAATACCCAATTTCCAAGTTTATGTATGTATTTATGATAAAATAAAGTTAATAATACAGTAGTATTCTATTATACTTATAGTAATGTTTTTTTTATTATAATTAATATTTAATTTAAATGAATACTAAAAAAATATAACTAATTAGTAATCTGTAATTGAATTAATATCTAAATTAAATGGATAAATCATCGGAGCAATTTATCAGCAATCAAAATCACCATGCTAATGCCAATAATCAATATAATGGTAAAATATTTTACAATAATTGTATATTAAACTTAGATTTTAAGATTACCAAAATTATTACCAAAAATTAAAGTCAAATATTAAATTAATTTTTTTTCTGTTAATAATACTAATAATAATTATACAAACGTTAATACCTATAAAATAATTGTAATTTACAATTTGTAAATCAGATAATAGATTTGATGGGCAAGGAATGGTATGGTGTGGTATGGGTTCATTAGTGCTGTTTATACTATTGGTATCAGTGCTCATTTGGGCACTGTTCAAGTTTGGTGCCTAACAAATCCTCTGTCCTAATAATCCTATCAAATATATTACGGTAATAACCAATCAATCAAAACATGCATTTTATATTATACTTAATATACACAAAAAAAATCATTTCCGGTATATTACATTTAACCTGATATATAAAACATTATCAATAATAGTAAATCAATCAATCAATTAAATTGTCTTAAAATATTTTTTTGGAAAACAACTGTTTTCATTTTAATAACTTTTATATTATACAGTATTATATAAATAAATTAAAATAAATGAATCAATAAAAATATATTAAAATTATTCGGAAAAAAACATTTTATTTTTAATATGTTTAACACACTTAACAGATCCAATCAATTACTCTTTGTCTTTGTTGTTGATCTGGAAGTATCTCAACTCATAGATATCATTGGCTGTAAACACAACCCGAAGTCAATCGCTCAGATTATTCTTCTTCAGATACTTCTTAGTCAAGTACTTGCGGTAACTTTTAGAGAATGTCAGATGTAACCAATATCTTGGTTTTGGTCACCAGATTATCCAAGTTTTGTGTTTTGCCATTGACTTTGATCCGTTCCTTCAGATAGGTCTCCTAAATATAGATCCAATAGTCGAACCAATCAATCGGTTTTCAAAATACGAAATAGAAGACAACAAAAAGTGGTTTTGTTTTATTAACGGTATCGACGGTAGCCGTAAATGGCTCGCCATTAACGCCACTAACTGTATGACCATCATTAGTGGGCTCAGAGAGCTCATGATAGTCACTGATAGTGGTCTTATGTTTGTGTTTTCCGGTTTGACTGACACTATCTTTATCACAGTTTTGTCGTAAATCTGGTCTGTCTGATGATGACTATTATTATTATCCCCGTTGTTGGCCACATGCGACTGGTTATGTAGTTTATGGTGTATGTGTTGAACCAAAGACACAACTGTTCTCAACTTTTTTATCAGTTTCTGTCTTTCAATAGTTAAGTGTTAATCAATCAAAATTTTCATTTACGGTAAACAACTTTTATATAATTTAATTAAAATAAATTCAATCAATAAAAATACAATTAAATTATTCGAAAAAAGACATTTTATTCTTAATATTTAAGACAACAACAGATCCAATCAATTACTCGTTGTCTTCGTCTTCATCTTCCTCTTCGTTGTTGATCTGGAAGTATCTCAACTCATAGATATCCTTAGCAGTGGACACAACCCGAAGCCAATCGCGCAGATTATTCTTCTTCAGATACTTCTTTGTCAAGTACTTGAGGTAACGTTTAGAGAATGGTATGTCAGATGTAACCAATATCTTGGCTTTGGTTCGCTCGACAGTCACCAGATTACCCAAGTTTTGTGTTTTGCCATTGACTTTGATTCGTTCCTTCAGATAGGTCTCCTAAAGAAGTGATCCAATGATCGAACCAACCAATCAATCGGTTTTTGAAAGACAATGAAAATAAAATAAAAAAATTCAACAAAAAGTTTTGTTGCATTTCGTGCAAAACATTTTCCTCATATCATCGGCAATGATATGAAAGTCTACACGATTTTTGTGGTCAGATATTGTTTACAATAATAATCAATAATAAGATAATGAATGGACACAGCATTGCAAGTGATCGGCATATCAGTTGTCTGGTCACACACACAAACGGGAAGCAAACAACACTATCAATAAGTGGTCACATTATTTATCTAACATCTAATCAATCAAATCGCTACCCGATTGTGTTGAGACCACACCAGAGACCTGATAGTCTGATCACTGCATTACTGAAATCCGAGTGAAAGAGGTGGAAAAAATGGGATCAGTTTATCGGCAGCGGCGGCACTGCCGCCACAAACAAACACATACAAAGTCCTGTGCATTCATAATGCCGTCCTCTACGGGTCGGGAACAGTCCAGTGTGTACTTCAGTTGCAACTTCTTTCGTTTGCCTTTGCCTTTGGTCACTGGTTTCACTGCTTTCTTAACTTTTACTGCCATTGCTTTAATATATGATCGGATGGTCTGCCGGTGATAATGATGTCCTTAAAACACACACCGTTTGGATTGTAAAACAAGTGTTAGAAACGAAAGAAAGGAAAAGGAAATCCAAAAAACAGAGACACACTCTCTGTGGGGATAATACTGTATTGGGAGGGACTGGACATCAATAACGTTGTCCATAATTTTAAACATTTTATTGGGTTTTATTTTTTATATTTGCTTCAAATACAGTACAGTTTAATTTGCTATTAATTAATATTTTTAATTGTTAATTAATTTAGTAAATATTTAAAAAAAATATAATAATAATAATAAATTAAGTTTTCTAATAAATATTATTTTCTTATTAAAAATAATTTTTATTTATTTATTATTATTTTTATATCATATTAATACTGTATAATACTATTGTTTTTTAAATATTAATATAACATTTTTATGTCGTAATTTAAAATTTTACACTAAAAATACAGTAAATTTACAATCTACGAAATTGTCATAAATAACGTAAATGTTTGACTTTTATTTCAAAAAGATAATGTTATTATTAAAATTATTATAAAAAATAAATCAATAAACAATGTTTTTTTTATATATGCATAACAACAGTACTGTTTTGATAATTATAATAATAATAACTATTATTATTATTAATTAAACCTAAATATTATTGTATTATAATAATAGTGTGTATATAAAAAAATATAGCAATTATTTCAATACAAACAATACAAACCTATTATTTTATATTATAATAATATCATTGATTTAATAAATGAATGAATGAGTGATTCAATTATTTGTCGCATAATTTATAATCACATTTACTTTTATTATTATAATAATAATAATGAAATGATTTGTTAATTAATTAAATGTTGGTCTAAAAAAAAAATCTGCCGATTACTGAGCGACTGATCCGTTTAGTCCACACCCCCTCATCGGGTACTATCAGTCGGACAAATCACATGTCACTTAAGGATCCGCTTTTGGGTAGCGATTGGTTGGCATCGGACAGCACTACCACTACTACTTCGGGACCGATCGGTACTGGCATTGGTGGACATCAACAGCCGCCACCATCGATAGCACACACGCTAAACGGCATCTCAACCGTCGGTGATGACCACAAAAGTATAGGACTGTTGACTAATCACTCGATCACTGGATCAGCAGTTGTTTGCGACAATCAATCAACAATGAATAACTATAATCACAGCCGAGATAATAGTAATAAAGAGCAACGACTGATGTCGGCAATCGGTATGTCGTCGTCTGATTCGTCCACCGATGACATTGTCATACCGATGCAGAAACGGAAAGTTAGGACAAGATTTACTAGAAAAAGGTAATCTAACCCTTGATTTCAGATCAAAGACAAGACAATACCTTACAATTGTGACAATACTGACTGATTGATTGTTAGTTTAGTTAGTGTTTGAGATCTGTAAAGACAGTGGGAAGTGATATGTGATGTAATTGATGGGAACAGTTGGGTTAGGAACAGGAGTCAAAAAGTGTTAGGTTTTTTTTATTAATGACTTATTTAAGATAATTGATTCATTTGACAGTTAAATTGTTTATTAAATTTTTAAATTATTTTTTACTTTATTTTTTAATATAATTTAGTTAATATATATTTTTTTAAAAAATAAAGTTATCTATGTCATATTTATTATATTTTTTTTGTTTTATTATATCCTGATAAATTTTTATATTAGTTCATTACTAGTTTTGTGACAATTTACACTTTTATTAATAAACAAATAACCTAATTATGATATTTATAGCTATCGGGGGGGGGGTATAATTTTATATATACAATATATGTTATATAATAATTTTATTGATTAAATTAGAAAATAAAATAAATTAATAATTCAAAATATTTAATATAGTATACGTTATCTAATTAGTTAAACGTTAAGCTCTATTTGTTTTTTTTAAAACATGAATTTTCCTCTTAAATTATTATCACAAAAAAAATATTGATTTAAAAAAAATCTTTATTAATATCGACAAAAGTTTGTCAATAATTATAACATAAAATTAAAAATTAATATCTCAATTATTATTAAAAAAAATTTTTTGTTGTACTCCATAACACACAAATAGGAGGTCCCGATCGACTGACTCTAATTTGTCACTCAAGAGTCGGGTAGCTCTGAGCTCGTGTCCGGCCATTTGTATGAAATTTGTGCTCATTTTGATGATCTTCTGTACCATTGCTTTTACAGTCCTATTCATTGCCAAACTATACGATCGCATCGACTCATTGCAGACCGCCATCAATGACTGTAAGCCCCCATTCAGATGATAGTATTGTATATCCAATTTGACTAAAAGTTCTCTCTCTCTCTCTCTCTCTCTCTTTCTTTCTTTCTTTCTTTCTTTACGTTATGTAGTGTCGGTTAGTGGTAATAGTGTACCGCAAGAGTTTCATTCAATACACTCGCATTTACAGCGATTAGACGCCAATTTAAGTGCCATAAAGACAGACGTCTTGCGGGCCTTTGATAGTATTGCCAATCTGACCGAAGAAGTCAAACTAATGAAACAACAGTTAAGCAAAATATCTGACTCTGTGGAGGCGGCGCCCGCTATCCGACAGTTGCCTAAAGAGCTACAAGATTTACAAAATGTTTGTTTGTTTTGTTGTTGTATTTTTTTAGTTATTAAATTTAATTATCTATGAATCAATAGGTGGTCGCAAATCTTGGCTCCCGATTAACCACTAATGACAACGAAGTCAAGACAATGAAAGACCAGCAAAATGAGCAAAAAGTGCGAACAGATATCATTCAGGTGGACGTGAATGCCATTCACACTAATATTTCGGACTTAATAAACGCTGCGACGAAAAACAACGGTAACGGATCAGCGAATGCGGTCAAAGTTGACCAGAATTCCCGTCAATTGACACACGTGTCGGACACTGTTCAACAATTGCAACAGTTCTACACTCAACTAATCAATTGGAAGACAGAAACGGATGAAAAGTTGAGAACAGTTATGTCGTTGGCTCAACACATACACGATAAACTACATAACCAGTCGCATGTGGCCAACAACGGGGATAATAATAATAATAGTCATCATCAAACAGACCAGATTTCCGACAAAACTGTTAATAATGATAAAGACAGTGACAGTCAAACCGGAACACACAAACACGTGTCACATAAGACCACAATCAGTGACTATCATGAGCTCTCTGAGCCCACTAATGATGGTCATACAGTTAGTGGCGTTAATGGCGAGCCATTTACGGCTACCGTCGATGCCGTTAATCAAACAAAACCACTTATGGCTTAATATATATTTTTTTAATAATTTGATTGTTATTAATAATTATGAACCAATTTTTTTCGTGTTTATTAATTTAATCAACTATTTTGCACTATTATAGCATTTTTTATAGTCTAGTAGTTTACGGTAATTGAAATTTTTAAATATTCAATTATTTTTTGATATTTTCTATGATTTTTTTATTTACTAAATTATTTGTTAACTTAATATTATTTTTCATATTTTCCATTTTTTTATTACCGGTAATTTATATTTGACATTACAATATAATACTAATAATAATACCATATTTACATTGTATTATATTTAAATAATATAACTTTTCGATATTATAATCATAATTACTAATAGATTAATAATTATTATAGTTTATATAATTATATTTTGTTATATTATAGATAACAGAAATTGTTATATTATTATTATTATTGTGCAGATATTTTTTTGTGATAATATTATATCATTCAATATAATGTGTAAAATTTTGATTTATATAAATTAATTTGTAAATATTAATTACATTTTCTATATTACTATTATTATTTTCATTAAATAGTTTTTAATTAAATGATTATTGCTAAAATTTATTATAATTATCGTATATTTAAATTTGTAAATATTGATATTACTGTATATATATAATACAAATTGATTGGAAAATTTGACAAATACTTTATGAATATTTCTAATTATTTTGTTTTGTTTTTTTGTATTTATTAGTAAATTTTTAATAATACAATTTTTTAATTAGTCATTAAATGATTTCTATAATACATTATTCAATAAAATCATTGTAAAACATTCATAAATTTCTTGTAATTTTTTTAGATTTATTTATTTTTTTGTTGTTATAATAACATAACATTTGTATTTAAAACACATAAAATTCTAAATATTTTTAGTTAATTATTTATATACTTCACTTCACTTGTAATGATGATAATAAAAAAAAACTACAATTTATAATACTAAGAGTATATTAGAAAATATTAAATCATAATATTTAAGATAAGAAAATAGTAATTTAAATCTATGACAATAAATTGTTGAGTTTAGTCTAGTTATCCATAACAACATAGATATAATTTTTATATATACTTAATAATTAAATGTTGATTATTTAAAAATATTATTAAATAACTAAACATATAACAAAAATAATTAGCAATAAAGTATTAATATACTGTATATATATATATATATATATGAAAAGTGGTGAATAAATGAATTTGTATAATTAATAATTACTTAATTAATTAATTAATTTAAAAAAAACAAAATGAATTCAAACAATTGTATAAAAAATATCGATAGGTTTTACGTGTTTGACGATAAACTCGGTATTAATATGTTGTTTGTTACTAACGATGACCGGGTCTATGGTTTAGGTGCCAATACATACGGTTCACTGGGTTTGGGACACAACCAATATGTGAGTGAACCGCAAGAGATTGTAGAGTTGAGACATAAAAAGATAATTAAGTTTTTAAATGGCTATCAATTTGTTATATGTGTTAGTAGTGATCATTGTTTATATAGTTGCGGTTATAACAGATTGGGTCAGTTAGGTGTTGGTAATTGTAGTAGTGATGTGTATATGCGACCATCGATTATACAAATCAATAGCAAAATCGCTGACAAAGTTATTGTTGATATCAGTTGTGGTATAAATCATACACTAGTGTTGACCCATAATAACAATAATAATAATGAAGTGTATGGTTGGGGTACTAATAAATACGGACAAATCGGTAGCCGAGATATAACCTATGAATTAGCTATCAGTGATGCCAAACAATGGCCAATCATTATACCCGAAAAAATTGAATTTACGGACAATGTTTTAATTATAAAATCTGTTTACTGTTTTGATAACTCGTCGTTTGCATTGACAAACAATGGACAGGTATTTAGTTGGGGAGACAACAGTACAAATCAATTGGGTATTGTTTCGGACTATTTGTATAGTTATCGGCCAAAACTAGTCTACAACTTAACCGGTATTACATCCATACAATCGGGTGCTGGGATTTCATATTTTATTAGTCATCATAATAATGATGTCTATTTTTGTGGCCATTATATTACTAATAATAATAATAATAATAATAATAGTGTAATTGATATTCAAAAGACACCAAAACTATTAGAAAATTTAAAACAATTTACAAAAACAAATATTTCATTAATTGTTTCATATAAACAAAATCAACGAATATTCTTGTGTTTTATTGATAATATTATCTATCAATTAATTTATGATAAATTAGTTAAAAAAAATTATTCATCACATTTAGACTATTGTATGAATAAATATAGAATAACTGATAAAACTTGTAAATTTGATAAATACTATGAATCAATAACTATGAAAAAATTTATTTTAAATACTTTAGACACTATTACTAAAACTGTTGATAAAAATATTGATGGTTAGTACAATTTATTTTTTTTGCAAAATAATATAATTTATCTAAAAAAAATTAGTAAATAATTTGAAATTGTATTTTTAAATTGATTTTTTATTTGTTTTATTGAATTCAGATTTAAAAGATCACCTATACTTTAGAGATGATTATCGATATTATGATGTATTATTAGATATGGGTTTAACTAATATACCTGGATATAAACAATATGGTAAAAAATAAATTTAAAAATAATAATATTTAGCATTATTATATCAAATTAATAATTGGTTAAATTAAATTTTAATAATTTTAATCCCATACACTAGAAACTAGATTACCAACAGTAAAGTTATCGACAAAAATTTGGATCAATTTAATTAAAATATTTTATATCTTTGACGACCAATTGGGAACTAATATGTTGTTAGTGACCAATGATGATCGGGTGTATGGATTGGGTTCTAATGCTTGCGGATCATTGGGTTTGGGACACAATAAATGGATACACGAACCGCAAGAATTAGTAGAATTGAGACACAAAAAATGTATAAACTTTTTAAACGGAAGTGAATTTATTGTCTGTCAGACTAGCGATTTGTGTGCTTACAGTTGGGGTTACAATCAAAGAGGACAGTTAGGTATAGCCGATGATGAACTGCTAAACTGTCAATATTCTAGACCGAGACTGATAGCGATTAATGAAAATAGTTTAATAAGTGATGTCAGTTGCGGTATAAATCATACACTAGTGTTGACCGTTGATAACTGTAGTGTCTATGGTTGGGGTCGTAATGATTTGGGACAAATCGGTAGCCGAGATACTGTTTGCGAGGCCATTGCTTTACCCGAAAAACTGGATTTTCAAAACTGGACAATTAAATCGGTTCATTGTTTTAATTGTTCATCGTTTGCATTGACAAGCAATGGACAGGTATTCAGTTGGGGTCATAATTATTATAACCAATTGGGCCATCAAAGCAACAAACTTTATGTGTGTAGACCACAGCTGATCTGCCATTTGTTTGACATTACATCCATACAGTCCGGTGCTGGCATTACTTATTTTAGTAGTAGTAGTAGTAGTAGTAATAGTCGTACAGAAAATAAAGTTTATTTTTGCGGTCCATTTCGTAATCAATTAACTAATGCTATTGATATACAACAGACACCAAAACTATTGGATAATTGTAATAAATATTCAGATATTCAGTCAATTGTTTCTTATGAAAGAAATCAAAGAATATACGTATGTTTAATGAATGATATTGTTTACGAGTTAATCGATGAACCAATTGTTACAAAATTTGCTAATTATTTTGATTATAGTTTAGCTAAATATAATATAACATATAAAACATATGAATTTAATAAATTATTAGATAATAATATTAATAGTGAATCTATGATAGCATACATTAAGCAATTATTTAAATCAATTAAACAAGAATTTAAACAATTAACCAAAAGCAACATTGGTTTGTATTTAATATATATATTATGTTTTTTTTAAATAAAATAAATTATTAATAATTTAATGTTTGTTAATATTATTATTTTTATTTAATAGATAATATATTCAACTCATATTATCGCTGTTACGATGAATTAAAATCATTAGGATCAGGAGGTTTTGGATCGGTAGTTAAATGTAGGCATAAATTTGATAAAACCTATCATGCGGTCAAAATAATTGCCATACAAGGTAATATACAAACAAAAAATATACATTTATTATTTTTTAAAAATAACATTTTAAATATAGATTATTTTTATTTAATTAAAAAAAAACAATTATTTATTTCAATAGATATTACAAAAACCAATGATATGTATATTAAAGAGTTTGAAAAAGAGGCAAAAATATTATCCGAATATTTGGTAAACATTTATAACTATAGTCTATACGACAATAGACTGTATATATCGATGGAGTACTGTATGATGAGTCTGTCGAAAGCAATCAAATTAAAAGCACTGGTATTTGGCAGACAATCATCAGCTGATCCAATGGATTGTCTCGAGTATTATATAACGTGCGAAATATTAGCTGAACTATTAGATTGTGTCCGATATTTGCACGAATTGAATCCACCAATTATTCATCGGGATATCAAACCGGATAACATATTGATTGCAAATAATATACGAAACGGTCGTTTTGTTAAACTATGCGATTTGGGTATAATGACTGTCCAAAAGCTAATGAAAAGCAGCTCAGGTAGTGGTGCGCCGACAGCAGCGGGAACTCCTAAATATATGGCACTTGAAGTCAAATGCGGTCGCATGTATACAACAAAATCCGATGTCTACAGTATTGGTGTCACAATCGGCGATCTGTTTGAGATTGATATCAATGAGTTTGTATTAATATTTGTTATTTATATTTATCAATACATTTGAATTTTGAATCTCCAATACATTACAATCTATAAGTTATTTATTTTAATTATTTTTTGTTTCTATGTTTTTTGAATTTTGTTTTTTTCTCAATTTATTAGTTCACATAATAAATATCATTGTCACCAATGGTCAGCTAATTATTATAAATTATTTGATATTATGAAAAATACAATGAATAATATAATCAAATTGAGACCTACCTGTGCTAAGATCATACAACAATATAGTGATTGGGCTATTGATAAATCATTAGTCACTAATATTTATAATAATAATAATAATAATAAGGATTTTAATGATAAACTTCGACAAATCAAACATAAGGAATGGGAGCTCAGATCAGAGGACAGGGATTCGGAGCCAGAATTTTGGGAATTTTTTTATACATTTATTTGTCAAAAAAAACTAATCAATTAAACAACTAATTATTTTTTAAAAATCTATTAAATATTAGCAATATATGGTAAAATTAATTTACAGTTATTTGACAAATAAATTTTATAATAAACTAAGAAATTATGCCTAAAATTTTATAAACAAATATAATTCATTTACAATTAAATAAGAGAATTATTTATATTAATATTATTATTAGTTTTAAGTTTTAATAAAATAAAATAATACAATTAGCAAATCTAAATAAATAAAATTATTTTTATAAATAATAATATTTAAATTATTTGTTATAAAAATAGATATATAAAATTTAATTAGATTTTTTCCATAAAAAATACTTTTATAAATTAGTATGAATTATTATGTATAGTCAATGAATTTAATTATAATATTATACGAAAAACTAATATATAAACACTGATATTTTATAACTTTATTAAATAGTATATGAAAAACATATATTAAATAACTAATATTTTATACTCTATATTTTGTGTATATTATATATATATATTTTTGATAATTATGATAAATTTAGATAAATTATTTTAAATAAAAGTTATTTTATTATACATTAAAATTTTATTTTCTCTTTTTGTATTTATTTGAAATATTAATTTAATAATTTGTTAAATAAATTAACATCCGTTTGATTGGATAAAAACAAACAATTTATTGCTTAATTAAAAAAAACATTATCAACCAGAAAAAACAATAACAAAAACAATTTATTTAACATAATTAGACATATGATTGTTATTATAATTTTTATAATTATTACTATAACTACTACTACTACTACCACTACCACCACTATTACTATTATTATTATTATTGCTATAATGATGATTATCATATCTATTGTGTCGAAAGGGTAGTTCACTATAGGTTAGTACATCATAGTGTTCTCTATCCATTTGTGTGGACGATCCGAACCGTGAGTCTGGTCTGGCCCGACAGCCGCACTTTGTATGGTTGGCTAAAGTAATTCTGTCGATGTTTTGCATGTGAGACATCCGACGCGGATTCAGTTGGTCGGTCTTCAACATTATCGTATAGAAGTAAAGGTCGACCAGTTTGGTCTCCAGTGCTACACAGGTATGTGTCGAGTGCGGACAACACCCGGTCAGGTCACTGCACCGGTGCAATAGTGTCGCCCGTGGCAAATATACCTGTGTAAGTGTGTGTGTGTGCGCCACATAAATAATAAAAAATTATAATAAAAAGAGTTTAAAATGCTTTTTAAGTTATGTATACTATAGGTATGTGTGTGTGAGAGAGAGAGAGAGAGAGAGATAAGAAAAAATTGGGGGATTTTTTGAATATAATTTTTTTATATTAAAATTTTTTTAAGTGCTATAATTGTACAAAACAATTATGATTGATTGGCTAATTACATGTCTAATAAGTTAATATGGTGTGAGTGAGTGAGTGAGTGTGTGTTTTATACATTTTAATTAATTTATTTATGAATTATTATTATACATAACGTGTTTGAAATTAGTCATGTATTAGATTTGGTCGGCATTTTTTGTTTGTTTGTTTTCAATGTACAATAAATATTACCTTTATAAACTTTTTTTAAAACGTGTAATTAAATTTTTTTTTATTACAATATATGATATATGTTAGATATTTTTTTTTTAAATATAAAAAAATTAGCTAACATTAAAAGGTATTTAATAGATTATAATAATAGGATAAATTATTTTTACCTGTACAATTAGTTATAACTATATATTAATATATATATATAAATATTATAAAATATATTTAAAACTGAATTAACTTATCACATAATTTATAACTAATAATATATCAAATTTAATTCATATCTACTATACTATACTATAGTTGCTTACTATTATTATTATTAAAGGTATTAATATAGTCGACTACAAGTGTGTGATCAAAAAATAAAATAAAATAAATAAATATTTAAAATTTAATAAATATATACTAATAGCAATATATCAACTAATTTTTGTATGTTAAAAATAAATAAATAAATAAAATAATAAATTATGTGCTCTCTCTCTCTCTCTCTCTCTCTCTCTCTCTCAACAATATAACATAAATTATCAGAAAAAAAACAAAACAAAAAATACTAATTCAATACAAACTTTATTTGGATCCTTAAAGTAGATTAGTTGTGGTTTTGGTTCGTCACATGAGGCCAACTCGTTGACCCGCATGCCGTGCTCGAAGGCCAGTTTGGCCAGACTCTCGTAGCGCTGTCTAACTGCACCGTAGACACCATACCTGGCTATTACTTGGCTATCGTAGCAGCACTGGTAGATAAATAGTAGAATAGTAGCGTATAGTATGGACAGGTATGACAAATCAATTCTATTAAACGACGATGACATTTAGAAAATAATAATAATAATAATAATAATAATATTGATAATATTATTTTTTTTGATATATTAAGTTATAAATATTAAGTTATTATAATTTATAATCACTGAATATGTAAATTCAAGTTTATATATATCAATAATAATAATAAATATTTTTATTAAATAACATTCAATAATTTATTAGTCAATCACACATTTCTGTTGCATTTATATAAAATCATTAATATTAAAATATTTTATTAGTAAGAACTAGGTATTTTTTATTATTAATTTATTACTTTTATATTTAGTAATAAATGGTCAGACATTAGTGTATGTATCTATGTGTGAGTGTATACTGATTGTGGGATTGGGATATGAATAGATGTGTTAAAGTGCTAGATATGGGATTATCAAACAACAACAACAACAACAATATCAACAACAACTATAAAATTGTTACTTTTTATAAGTTGTATGACTTGTTTTTTGAAAGAGAGAGAGAAGAGAGAGAGAGAGAGAGAGAGAGAGAGAGAGAGAGAGAGAGAAAGAAAGAGAGAGAGATTTGGTTTTTGGATTTCACTGAATTATTTAACCAAAAATAAAAATTAAAGATTTATATCATTGAATTAAATTTAGTACTAACTTAAGTGTATTAATAGCAACATAAGCCACTGAAATTGAAAGTAATTTTATCTGAGAAAAATTAAAATATTTTTTTTTATTAAAAAAAGGTTTGATTATAATATTTTTTTACAAACATTTCAATTTTACAGTATTTAATTATTAAATTTTACAGTATATTAACTCTATGTGTATTTAATGTGAAACTTATACAAATGCAATTTTTGTTTGATATTAGCCGATAAAACAATTTTTCTATAAGTGTTAATTAAAATGATTTTTTAAATAAATTTTTAAAACTATGCATTTGTTTTTGTTGTTGTTTTATAAATCGTTTTTATATCTCTTTATTTTTTTGAAATAAAATACTAATTATATTTGGCAAATGTGTTAACATAGTATTTTTTTTTGAATTAAATAAATTTTAAATACTAAATTTAACACCATATACAATGTATATATATAATGTATTTGAATATTTACATAATATGATTCATAGATAACAATATTATTTTTGTTAAGTAATGTTATAATTAAACTGCTAATACAGTATTATATTATACCTTATATTTAGTACTATATTTAGAAAAATTTATTGTTTTCTTATTTTACGGAAATAAACACTCAGTTTTTACATATATTAAACTAAATATATTAAACTATATATTAGATTTTAATGTATTAATGTAATCCCTTATGTTTTTATATTTTAAATTGTATTTATAATAAAAATATTATTAGTATTTTTTAAATAAAGATATGTAAACTAAAAATTTAGAGTAATTTATTCAATTTATGCTTATGTTAATATTATAAATACACATAAATCATTTAGCTATAGTAATAAAATGTTTAAATATAAATATTAATAAAAGAAAAAAAAGTTATATATATATTTTGAAAATTTATAAATTTAAATCATAATCATATAGATAACAAACATTTCTACATTGAGTTTTAACATTAAATAATAATATATAATAATTTTTTTAAATAGTTTTTTTTCTAAATAAACAAATTATCATATCATAATTATAAATATTATATTGGTAAATTGTGTGCATAGAAAATTTGTGGTTGTAATTTTTTTAGGGGATTTTTGACAAGATAAATTAGCTAGCATAAATTAGTAATTTTTTATTCAAAAAAATACAACAAATTCATATTTAATAGATTACTGTTTAAATAATGTGGCTTAAATTGCGCAAACATAATTGCACAATTTATTTTGTTAATATATTAATATATTAAAGTTATAAAAAAATATTTAACAAAAAATGTTTTATATAAAGTTTTAAAAATATTTGAAATTTTGTTTAATGTTTAAGCATTTTCAAAAATATTTGTATATTTTTATAATACTCTATAAACTTAATTTAACTATTTATTTAAATAAAATAATTATTTTATTTTTACAAAATATAGTATAATTAATATAATTTTGCAATGTACTAATTTGCAATATGCAATATTTAATTATCAAACATTCAAAATAATGTATATAGTTTTAATTAATACCAAAAAAAAATTATTTTTAGTTTCATTAATTATCCAATAAAATTTCATTAACTATCTTATGAAATATCTATTTGATAACAATGACAAATTGGTAAAATAAAAACATTATTAATTGTATTAAATTTATATACAGTATATATATATATATATAAACAAGATTTAATAAAAATGTTTCACATTAAATAAAAAAGGTTTTTAAAATTTCAACAATTTCATTACTGTTTTTTTAAAAATATTTATTTTTGTTATAACAACATAGATAACTAACCTTTAACTAATAAATTATAGCTTAAATATAGTATAATTATTTATTTATTTTTTTACGGATTACCAGACAATATATATTAATAGAATTTACAAGTGATTTATGAGATAATTTACTTAACTAAAAAAATAACTCTATTTTGTATAGTAATAAAAAAAATAATTAAAAATAATAAAAATAAAATTTACTGTCAAATAATACCAACAAAATAAAATCTATTTAAGTCAAAGTAGTCAATGTTGCCTGCTTAGAAATTGAAAATAGTCAATAGACATTAACCCTAATACTAGGTATAATAAGCTCCATGTTAAGGGTGTATATAAATTTATATATATTTATTTTTTGGAAAAAAATAATTAAATAAAAATAAATCTAATATTATCTAGCATATAATAATTTGTGTGCTAACATTAAAATTTACATTTTATATTTCACGATTATAATCGCATTTATATTTTTAGCGTTCAAATTATTTTTTTTTGTTAAGATTTTTATCTCTCTCTCTCTCTCTCTCTCTCTCTTTCTATATATGTATATATACTGTATATTATATAACATCTTATATAACAAATGACTAGAAATAACAAAACAAAAATTTTTGATTTTTGTTTTCTTTAAAGTTGGGAAACATTTTTGAAATGGTCGGCACTGGGAATGAAATCTTAATAAAAAGGATTGGTATGAAAGTATTTACCTGTATATGTGTTTTTGTGTGAACCGGTCGATCGGTGCCTGAAATTGGATTAACAAAATATATAACTAATATTTATTTATTGACTAAAGTCTTATTTACTTATTTTGTGTGGCAATACTGGCAAATCATTTCAGATAAAGAAAAATATTTTAAATTTAATGTATAAACAGATAAATAATAATAATAAATATTATAATACTATTAAATATGTTATATATTGTATAAGCAGTTTAAAAAAAGGTATTTTCAAATATAGTATAAGTTTATAGATAAAATAAATTACATTAAACTAGAATAATGCTATAATTTTTTTTAAATGCATCAACAAAGTTGAACTCTTAAAATAAAATAATAATAGATTACTTATTAAATTTATTAGGTTTTTAGTTTTAAACGATATTAATGTAGCATTTAATTTGAAATGATGTTTAAAATTGGACATCAATTAAGATGATAGGAGAGAGTGAGTGAAGAGTGAGAGAGACAAAGAGAGAGAGAGAGAGACAGACAGAGAGAGAGAGAGAGAGAGAGAGAGAGAGAGAGAGAGAGAGAGAGAGAGAGAGAGAGAGAGAGAGAGAGAGAGAGAGGTTACTTTCTTAATCAACCAAAAACATATATATATATATAATGTCTCTCTCTCTCTCCCTCTCTCTCTCTCTCTCTTTCTCTTTCTTTCTCTCAATCTCTCAGAATTAGACATTTATTAAACTAATTTCAAATCAAATATGAAATGTTTTCTGAAGAAGAAAAAAGAGGGGGAAATACCAATTTGAACAGTAATTATTGAAATATATATTATTAGAAAACAAAATAAAATAAAAATAAATATATATATATTTATAATAAACATTAGTATATCTATAGTCAGTTAAATTGTATAAATATAATGAAAGTGATTGTACTGTTTGGGCCATCAATCCTATTAAGGAGAGACTGGACTCACTTAATAGTAGTAGTAGTCAAACAACATTTTTTTGATTTGTTTGCTACAAATCTATGGGTTTTTTTAAATATATTATATAATATTGTGGTAATGGTATATATATATATATTATAAGGTATGAGTGTATAGTATATATCAATTCGTTAAAAACGTTTAAAAAATTAATGATATTTTGTTAGATACTCGGTATTCAGTATAAATAAAATGTGAAAACATTTTTGTTGTTGTTTTCACAAAACATAAACGACAGCTCAAAGCCAGTGAAATATATATATATATATAAGTTATAAAAGTTATATATTAGTTATTTTAGTTTAAATATATCCGTCTATCGGCACTGTACTACATTTTTTTGAGTTGAAAGAGAGTAATGATTACTTGAATTGAATTTACAGATTAATAATAATAGCAAGAATCGGAATATTTGTAATAATAGTATTAATTATTATATATATATATATAAATATTTTTTGTTTTGTTTCTGTATAGCAGTGAGAAGAAAAAAAAGTTAAAATAATAAAAATAAGAAAAAGTTTTTTTTTAAAAAAAGTTTTCAGAAAAAAAGTTATGTACTGTAAGTGTTGTTGAAAACAAATTGATTGGAATCTCATTTATATATAAAGTTTTTATTTTATTTTTATTTTTGTTAGTTTTGTTGTTATTTATTAAAAAAAAATTATTTAACTAAACTAAGCCACTAGTGAACAATTTTTATGAGATTTATTTGTATGTGCCAGTGATACACACACAAACACACACACTGTATAAGCACCTGAGTTAACTTTAAGCACAGGTAGATTTTTTTTCGTTGGCAGTAATCATTGATGATATGATACGATATGATATATCTTTATGTGCAAACAAAAAATTATGATGATGATGATTATAAGCTATCATTTTAATAATATTAATACTAATAATTTACGTTTATATATTTGTGACATTTGAATTGTGTTATC